CGGGTATGACCAGACGCAAAACGTGAACAAGGGGTTGAGGAAAATATTGGTTGGGGGTTGGTTGAGTTTTTTTTTAAATGTGACGCTGTTGTAGGAGTCTGCTTATTGATGGTGACGGCTGTGAGTTGAGGTTGCTCCATAGCCCTAGGTAAACCATTATTTCATAAGGGTGCACCGTGTAAAGGAGGGACGAGAGAAGGGTTGAAACCGAGGGGAGGTCTGAATAATAACGTCGGGGTTGGAGGCATCACTTGGAGATAACGATAGTGGTTTTTGAAGGGCGAGTTGTATTTTTAAGGGATAGGGAGTTCGAGGGGGTGATCTGATTTGTTTGCAAGGAGGGAAAGGTTCGAACCCCTGATCATTGGGAAATGAGGGGTGGAATGGATATAAGGGTGGCGACCCCATATAATTTTTTTCCTAAATTATTTCACGCAAATCAACCGTCTTTGCTCGGTCGACTTCACCCCTTATCACGGGGTTGGTTACTGCTGTTAACCCTTAGGGGTTGAACCTTTTCACATCCCTAACAGACGGTCCGGTCGAGTCTAGGAAAGCTCCAACAACCCCATAAAAATTATGCTTTATCGACTGTGCGTTATCCGAAACACGAGTTTGCTCGCTCGAATTCACCCTCTGTTCTAGGGGTGGTTATTGCTCTTAATATTAGGGGGTTGTATAGGAAAGTTTGCACAACCCCTGTAGGAGAAGCTCGGTTAAAGCTGAGGAGCCTGCTCCTCTTCTCTCTCGAACATTGCCAGACCACAGATGCGGAAAACTACCCTTAGCGATCCCTCTCGTCCCCCAGCGAGAAAAAGAGAGACGGAGCGAGCGGGTATCACCGAGTGCGAGGGAGAGGCCGATAACGCGTCAACGCTCGGTTTATTTCCCTCACATGACCTCGTCTGAGAAATCGGCCATTTTCCTCAGAAATCGGAACTTGAGGGGGTGCACGAGACTTTTTACCCCTGCAACCTCTCCTTGTTATCTCAGATTTTTGCGTGATTTAAAAATACATGTTTCCTTCTTCTATCAAATATAAATCATGTGCAGGGAATTTCTTCATTTATATTTACACTTATTTCGAGTAGGAAGAGAAATGAATTTTTTCCTTCCTCCATAATTCTGAATTAAAATGCAATATCTAATAACACGCGAAGTGATTTACGGTAATTGGCAATTATGGGACATATTGAAGGTGTAATCACGAAGTCCCTCGTAATTCTGCGGTATGACTCGTTGCAAGTGCTCGGTACTGCTCTTCGGCGTAAGGAGATTTATTGTACATTTGCGGTTAAATGATGAACCGTGACCGCATCGTTATCGCGGTTTTGCGGCAACGATGCGGCAAAATGGAAAATTCTCCTCTTTTTTTTTTTCCCCCATCGCGTATACCTGTATCTCGTCGGTGTCGGAAAATTATTGGAAATTGGCTCCCGTCGATAGAATCGAGATTTTCCACGCGAGGGATAATGTCCCCGCAAATGAAAATGGAGCATGAAAATATCTCCTCGAAACCGAATGCAAATGTAAAAGTAGATAAAGGGTAATAATTTCCCTTTTTAGCGAAAAGTTGTCCCCACATCTCCTCGGGGGCGCCGAGAGGCACCCCTGTCGAAGACTTCCGGGCTTTCGGGGGTTGGGAATTTTCAAGAGGGGTACAGGGGGTGGGGTTTTGACAAAACGTCAACGAAACATCCCCTGGACGTCCTAATGGCCGATGGATTTACCAAGGGTCGGAGGTCGCCGGTCAAAGGGAATGGATGATTTCGAGGCGAAGCCACCCCTCTCGGCCAACCAACCCCCAATATTGGGACATGGCAAATACGGTTTGTTGCCGATTTCCAGCCAGCTTTGCCGAGAGCCTCTCCAAGTCTCCGAAACCCTTTTCGAAAGCCTTTTCATCCTCGGAATAGAAATTAAGGATCGAGATTCTTATGATGGAATTAACATATTTCATGTTTGCGATGCCCCTAATTTTTTAGTTGCATTTTTATTGACATTTATAGGCACTTTTGATTTTCCTCCCTAATGAAAGACTTGCCCGATATTTTTTAAACATAGAGTATCATTTATTATGTTGAAGTATATCGATTGTTCGGTGGCTTTCTGAAGTTATGTCGGAGGTTTTGCACGCTTAAATGGGGACAGGGGAAAGGGTTGAAAGGGGTGGAAAGTTCTTCCATCGTCTCGATGGTTTAAAGGGGAGGCCTGTAAAAATCCCGGAGTTTATCATAAATTTCCATGTTATATCCCATTTTCCCGGGGCGACGTGGCTGTGCCAATAATTCGCATGACTGTATCAAGTCGTAAAAGAGTAAAGTGTATCACGTCGTAGGAACAGCCCTCTCTTTTATTCCAAGTGTAGCCTGGAATCGGGCCAAATCTCCCGAGCTTTATCCACCGGGACGTCGGGTGGACATTTACCGAAATCCTCGACCCATCTCCCCGCCGAATTGCTTTTGGTTTCGGTCTTTTTCTCGGTCCGCGGATATAGAAAAATCTCCAGATTTATGCCGAGATTTTACCCCCTCCTGGTAGGGATTATTTGCACGAACCGTTTAAAAATGGATGCGCGTAAACAAATGTAACCTATATTTTTACATTTTTTCTAACATTCTTTTTAGGGACATATTTCTGGCACCTCAATTTTCAAGGGTGATTTTTCTACATCCACGAAGCGTCAAACTGAAAAGGGGCGGGAAATTTAAAAAAGGCATTCGGATCGTCATAACTGAGAAAAGTCGTTCCAGAAAATTTTCCCCCCAGGAATTTCCGGGGATAATTTTCCCGTCGAGCTTTTAGCTTTTCCTCCCTTATCTCAGGTCTCAAAATCGGGGAAATTTCCAGTGAATCTTGCAGTGCTTATGGCTGCTCGTTAAGCTCTCCTGGCGTTACATTAACCCGATCCACGTCTAGTCTAAAGCTCCGTAAGCATCGTTACGCCTCGTTGCATCCCCGACGTACGTTCGCACGATACTCTCCATACGCACACTCTACACAGTATTACGCATAATGTATTACGCGTTGCGTATCATAGGTTTCAAGGCTCCATGCTTTCGGATCGACGCAGCTTCCCCGAACGAGCTTTACGCACCCTCCGAGGGGATTACGAATTGCACGCTCGAATTGACACCCACCATTCGACCGCGGATTTTCCTCTCCCCATTTTCGCGATTTTCACCCCCCTGAATGGAGAGACATATTTCCGAGATGTATAAAAGGTCCTGGGATTTTTCAATTTTTCTTTTTTACCCATTGACTTCATTGCAAAATGTGAATTTTTCCCTTTTCTCCACCGATTAATAAAATTAAAATTTCCTGAGATGATGGGCACGTAATAAAATTCCAACAATGAATTTTCTTAAATCAGACGTAATTGGTATAATTGGTAAAAACATTTGAAAATTCCCGCGAAGAAGTGGAGGGCTCGAAAATGAGGTTTGAGGCCCTCGACCCGTCACTTTTGAATTTCCTTTCTTTAATCCGATGTTTCACGAGACTCTCGTGGAACCCGAGTCGGTCCATTGTAATACGAGGGAAGGTTCGGCTTTGTACAATTTGCGATAATTGTCGGGGTAAAAAAGTGTTCCTTCTGTCCGGGAAAAATCGGGACTCGGACCGAACGGCTCACAAAAGGTCCAGAAAGGGATGTTAATAACGACGGGATGAAATGTAGCGATGAAACCTAACCAGAGGAACGGAGCAAAGAGTTCTGAAGTTACGGGGTTGCTCTGGTCTACTTTTCTCATTGTTTCCTCCCCTTTTCATCCCTTTGCGGTACCCTTTTTGTAAACCCTTTTTATTCCCCTGCTCAGGGTGTACTCCCTTTTCCAATTTGTCTTTCTTTGACCGACTGGCAAAGGACCTCTTCGGGGAATCCTGTTAACAAATATAGACATGGAATCCACTTGTATGAAACGAGAGAGAGTTTGTTCACTCGTACCAGATTTTGCGTTTGGATATTCTTTCCTTTTGAGAAAGTGCGAGGCATGGATTGGGGGGATTTTTTTCGGATAAGCTCAAACCACTAGCGTCTCTCTCGAGTTTCGAAGTCTATTTGCGGCCTTTCGCAGCTTTCCCGAGACTTGAGGGAGCTTTTCGAGTCTCCTCAGGGGTGAGGGGTGAGTTGCGACAAACACGCGAGGATTAAAGTATCGTCACCGAAACCCCTGAATAATTCAAGATGGGTGGTCCAGGAACTTTGACGCCTGGGAAACCGCGGAAATCCTTCCTTTTCTCCCGATTTTCCTCGAGACTCCCCTCGAGATTTTCTTTAAAGCTGGGAAACTCGAATTTCCGACCAGGGATCGAAAGCTGTTGAATTAAAGATTTTTCTTTTAATTCCTGATAAGTAAAACTAGTGTATTTGGAATTTTCTCCAATGGAACCATTCAAAGTATTTTTTGTTAACATTTCTTTCGTTTTGTGAAATTATTTAAAATATTTCATGACAGATACTTTTCCCGTCAATTTTTCCGCTCCGATCTCAAGGAAGTTCAATCGCAAATACCATTAAATGTTCCTCGCGTTAAAAATAAAACCGCCCTTCAAACGCGAAGTTAATTAAAGCTCTACTTTTATTTATAATTAATTAATGATAAGCAAACTCTCCTGTTTAGCAAATAACCGAAGAAACTTTTGCCAGGATGTTTATTTGGGGCTCTTCAGGTTTGAGTTAAATCAGAAACTCTGTTTTATATATGTGTATTTCCTTTTCCAAACAACCTCAAACATCTCCGTGGTTAATTAATATTGTCGAAACTTTCAAAAATCTGCGCTCACTTCGTTTGCCTTCGTTAAATGAAATTGCAAATATCGTTTTTTGAAAAACGAAAGCACTTCCGAATTTTCCGAAATTTCTCCCCAACCTCTAATTACCACGTGAACATCGAAACAGACTTCAGGAATAGAAGAAAAAAAAAAAATGGAAGGGATGAAAAAGGGTGGTTGAAAAAAAATATGAAAAAATATCCTGACAAGTTCAATCCCTGTTCCAGGATCGGCGCTAATGAGGATCGTCGAGGTTTACAAGGAGATCCAGGATCAAGAGATGAACATCGTGAGTACGACCTTGAATAATTGAGGCGGGGGTTGTCACCCCTTTCCGCGAGCGGTGGAAATTGCGGGATTAAATCGGGGCTTTGTCCCCTCTCTCGTCAGGGTCTCGTTATTATTTAAATAAACCGCGAGGACGCAATTAAAGCTGGGTGCGGAATTTATTCCGTTCGGCAAGGAAGGTCCCCTTACAACCCTTACAAGCCCGCAACCCTTACAGGGTCGACGCCTCGCGGAATATCAATTAATCGACCCCTCCAGGGGTTTCCCTCTCGCCCACTTTCGCTCTTACTCGGCTCTTCCGTCTTCTCGTTTATCGTTTCTATTTTTTTTTTTTTTTTTTTTTTTTTGACACGGTTTTGCATTTTTCCCGAATTTCGAGACCATTTTCCGCCGCAAAGGGGCCGCGGGGTGCTATTTAAGTCACGCGCCGGTAACGAGCTCCGACCCTCTACTCGATTTTCCCTCGGTTTAACCCTCCACCCTGGGGCAGTTCCTGGGTGGTTTCGCAAAGAGGTCTTAATCGGTTTCCGCTTTTTACAGACGTCGGGAACGGATAGACTATTCCCGAAAATAATGGACTTGAAGATTTATAAACAAATTTCGGGCTTTATGATTCTATTTTTTTTGCCTGATTACAGCGTAATTAATTTGTTACGAAGTCTGGGGTGGTTTTAAGGGACGATCAATGTCGCATGCGGCATCGATCAGCTGATCGGTGCCGCATGTGACATCCCACGCATTTCCGTTTCCCGGAACGAGGAAAGCCCGATCGATTTCCCGGCTAATTTCCAAAAGGACTTTTCCTGATAAATGATCGTTCCCATCCTGGGTGGAGTCGGAGGAAGTTATCGGCTGGAGAGATCGCCATTGGCCGTCGAATGGCCGTCCGTACCGGCGAGGTACGCGAGAAAACACTTTGCGGAATTAACTGGGCTTTCTTTGCGCCACCCATTGCGACTTTCCCCGTCCTTATCTGAGCCCCGACCATTGTCCCGCAAGCTCGAAAAATCACGACTCCGCGGAAAGCTTTCCCGCGAAGATAACGTCAGGTAATTCTCCCAAAGCCGGATCGAGGCTCACGTTTAAAGAAGGTCAATCGCGCCTCGATAGAACGGATTTTGCGTTCACGCGTTAAGATAATCGAATACCTTTCATACCGCCTTAACATAATTAAACAAACGCGCCATAGAAAGTCTCATTACACTCCGGGAAACCGTAATTGCCGCCGTAACTCTGCCCCTTAATAATTGAAACAATAATTCCCGCGATACATCTGCTTGTAATAATCAAAGGAGTCCGCGATCAGGGCCGTAAATCGAGCCCCGCAGACGGGAGGGTTGATTCCGCTCGGGTGGGGTGGCCGATGGGGCGGGAAGCGCTCTCGGAGGGTAAGAAGATGGAACGAAATGATTTCCCGAGGAAGCTGCGCGAGCACTCCGAGGGGTCCTTGCCCGAGAAAATGATTTTCCCGCGTCGCGGCGGCTTCCCCGGGAAATTGTTTCATAAAGATGCTGAGGGAAGGGGTGTCCGCCCCATTGCGCCCTTACGCGTGGAGTCCCTGTGGTTGGGGGTGGTGGGTGGACGTGGGTGACGGTGTGTGGCGGTGGACGATGGTGCTTGGCGAGGAGCGGTACTTGATGACGGTGGATGTGAAGGGATGACTGGGTAACGTTGGGTGGTAGTGGGTGGTGGTGGGTGGTAGGTGACATTGGATGGAAGTTGCTGACGAGGATCGGTACCCTATGGTAGATGATATGAAGGAATGATTATGGACAACGGTGTGTGGTAATAGGTGGACGACAGTGGATACGAACTGTGGGTGACAATGGGTGACGATGGGCGAGAACGCGTAGCGAGAAGAGTTGGTGGTTATGGGTAGAAGTATGTGTCGAGGAGCGGTGGGTGATGCCAGTGGGTGGGAGCAGGTGGCGATGGTCGGACTGTAATGGGTTGCAGCGAACCTTAATAGGCTGCACTTGGTGACGGTGGATGACCATGCCTAATGATGGGTGGTAATAGGTGGCAGGTGCCGATGAGCTGTGGTTAGTTGGCAGTGGGTGACAATAAACGGCAATGAGCAATAACAGGCACCAATAGGTGTCGGTGGGAGATAGCGTGTGTTCGATAGCACCGTATGATTGTGGTAATAAGTGACGATGGATGGCAGCGGATGTCCATAAATGGGAGTGGGCGGTAAGCGATGTCAGTGGGTGGTAATGGGTGGCGGTGGGTGGTAGCCAGGAACAGGCACCACTACGATAGCAAGGGTGGCAGTGGATGTGTGAATGCGTGTGTGGGTGGGTGGGTGGCACTGGGTTTCGGATGTGCCACGAAGGATTCGGTACGAGGAAAAATGCCGCTCTTACTATGTACTTAAAGCGCGGAATAGCATAATAAATATCCGCAGGATAAGGACCGAAAGTGTAGTCTCTCCCCCTTTATCTCCCTCCCTCTCTTTCCCCCACATTAAACGTACATTACGCCTTGCGTGCTCGAGGGAGAGACTTCGTACGCCAGGAAAATTTTTCTTGTAAATTCTCAAAATGGACGCCCTCAAACTCCCCCCTGCAGTAAAGAGACTCGATTAGTAGTCTAAATTATTAATATAAAATTACCTAAGCAATTATTTTCAAGTCAACGATATGTTAGAAAATTTTCAAAATATACTTCGAACCTTGGAAATTTTAAAATCACAAAATCGATGTACATCAATCCTTCGAGCGCATTTTTTATTGTCACGGCGAGCGGAATGTAAAAAACCGAAAGGCTCAAAAGGGGGAAATTCGCATCTCGAAAATTGTGACACACGAGGTGGATGTTTTTTTTTTTTTTTCGTCGAAGCTTTTGTTTATTACAGGCGGCGTTAAAACGGAAGGTGTTAAATTGCGGCGTTAAATCGCAATGACGGTGACGTTTCGTTCGATGGGGTATTTTATTTTTTCCCTTTCTTCCCTCCAATTTCTCGAGCGTCTAGAAGCGAGACTTTCAATCGATTCGACGTTCCCCGACTTGCTGGAAACTCCGTGACGTGTGAAAATCCTCGGGAAATTATTACTGGAGCCAATAAACTCTCCGGTATACCTTTCCCCGAGGAAAGACAGGAAAACTGCGAGATACGACGGGATGCGAGAAAAGCTCTCCGAGTTTACGAAGACTTGTATAAGACGAGAAGTGTAACGGAGAGTCGACGTAATCCTGGGAGTAAAATTCAGAAAAGAGACGGAAGAGATGTAACGAATGCAAACCGAGGGAAATATTCTAGGAAAAATTAACCCATCTTAATATTGTGAGACAAGTACTTTTTTATACCTTGTTATAAATCAAAAGACATTCCGCTCGGACAAAAGCGCTCTTCTTCGTACGTCAGGAACATTTGTTACTAATAAGCGGATTTGTCAAGAGGAATGAAATACTTTTCCGAGGGAAATGCCGCAAAGCGAGGGGGCGGGAAAGTTAATTCGCGCCGCCTCGAGAGCGGCGGAGATTTTTCCTAGCTTTTCCGACATTTCCCGCCAGCTGGCGAACTTTCACCCCCGCGTTTCTCGTCCTTTGTTACGAGCTTTTCGCACCCTTCGCCCAATCGTGGGGCAATTTCACCGGGATCGTACAAACAAAAAGAATCCCGAGCCGATGCGCCCAATTTTCCCAACATACTCGATCGCGTTTCGATCACTGATTAAAGGGTAACAAGGGGAGAAAAGGCGGAAATAATTGCAGGATCTTGTAAAAGGGATATCGCCACTTAAATGCCACTCCGATTGTCAAATCTACTCTATATCTCCTCCCCCTGATTTTTCACAATTTTTCTTCAAAGTCCTGATAAATGTTTTAAAGGAGAAAAATCATAAATCCGGAATTCTACCCTGTACATATCGGGGTTGCTAGTCAGGAATAAATTTAAAAAAAATGGGGATGGCAACCCCAAGACGTCCCGTTTGGTCGCAGGAATTAATCCCCTCGGAGGAGGTACTTCCCGGGGAGATAAAATTCACTCGGAACGAGAGGATCCCGTTTTATCGCCGGAGACTCTGGATCCTTGGGAGGGTATATCACCCCCCGGGGGTGGAGAAATTCCACACGAGTTGCCCTGGCACTTTCACGGTACGATTTTTCCGACCGCTGGCGAGCATCGCTTCTGTTGCTGCCTTTTGCGTCCCCGTTGCTTCCTGTTTGCACCCTTTATCGCTGCTGCCCTCTTTTACGACCTTCTCATCTCTACGGCGGAATTTCGGGATCGGCCGGAAAAAAAAATAAATAAATAAATAAATCCTGCCAGTCGTACTTTCTTACACTCGGGGGATGGACGAATCCATGCTTCCTAACTTGCGGCGTAAAATTTAATAACTAATATTTACAAGTCGAGTAGAGTTCGCGAGGGCTACTTCCCTCCCAAGTAATTAAAAGTCACCTCCCCGTGGCGATTAGGAGTTTCATTTTTAATTAGGCCATAACGAGACTGCAGAAGTAATTCGAGCTAGCTGGGGACCATAAGGTGCGACATTGCCCCTTATCATGGGGCGACTTACCCCCCGCGAGTTTTGGAAACGAGCCAATCGTCGCCTTCCTCTCCATGTCACCCAATAAATATTAGAATAACTTTAAGATTCGCATAACCGACTTAACGAAGAAAAATAGGCAAAGTTTCACCCAAATTTAAAAAAAAAATTCAAATCTCATGGATCCAGTCCGAAGAAAAGTTTCATTAGTGAGACGTCATTGACGCCATTTTGAGATTACCTTAAAAGTCGTATAAAAATGAATGTAATTACTACATTAAGCCGAAAACAGGCTTGTGTTAAGAAATCGGATTTAACGTCAACGCTCAGGGTCAAAAAAGGATCGAAAGAACGAAGAGCAAACTCGACGTCCATTTCCGGTAATTCCCGGAAGCACGGGCCACCCTCTACCACCCTCTACCACCCACTACCACCCACCTCCCAACCTCATGACCGGGCTTGCGCTGCGCAAACGCCGAAGAAAAGCGCGCGCAGCTCGCGAGCTTCCTGTGCAAATTTACACAGGAGCTTGTTTGCAAATCAGCCCATTCCCCGGGTTAGCTTTCTGACTTTGAAGCTTTTCCGCCCCCCCTTCACCCCTTTCTCGCCCCATCTCTATTCGTCCATCTCTCTTTGTCAGAGCTTTCGGCACCCACTTCGACGAAACACGTATAAACGCACTAAAAGCTCTATGGATATCCATGGATATAACCATGAGTGCCATAATGACCATAATTAAATGCCCACCTCCTCGATATATGTGTAAGAAATTTTAGAGCACAAGAGACGCATTTAAAATGTCGACGGGGCTCATTTTAGGTCCCAGGACTTTTTGGGGGCTTTTTACCCCCGCCCCATCTCGGCGAAATTGAGCTTTTGGCACAGAGACCCACGGTGGGGCGATTGCCCCCACAAAAAGTGGCGAGGATGGAAAAGTAGGCACAGCTGGGGGCAAAAATGAAAGCTCGTATCTCCCTTCGTAGGGGGAAAGTTTTCCTGCTTTTCCCCCCCCCCCCATCTCGTGACCATGAAACGTCACGCTATGAATGATTGTCCCCTTAAAGTGGAGGCTTTGTTGGAAATGACATTTAGGGGTGTTTCGTTCTCTAAGAGTGAATCATTTGTCCGAATTTGAATATCATGTATTAAAGTTATTCATAATGATAATTTTTATTACATCATTTGGTCCAATATAGGATGAATGTCTATTTTGTTAAGATACATATATAACATTGGATCAATATTAGTGTTGTATAGTACGACGGAATATTCAGCCAATTAAGCAAAATGTTCACATGTCAAGCAATATTCGCAATATTTATCCGCCGTGTAAACTGCAGTTTACCAATATTATGCCAATTAATATTGTTACATGAGTCCCCACCTCCCAGAATGTGAAGAAACAATCTCAATACTCGACTTCACATATGTAAATCCCCAAAAACACATGACATCACGTATCAACACCGTCCCCTTCAAGTATGTCGCGACATTTCCAAGACCACCCCCAAGTGTCTCGAGTGGTAAATCAACTTTTCCCCCAAAGCCGTAAATATTTTCCGAAGCTGTCCCGGCGAGTCGAGAAGCCTTTTGTCTCCGCACGTCGCCATTTCCGGGGAGGAGAGTGTGTCGGCTAAGCCGGGGCGAAAGTTTCCGCGGGGGGTGATCACCCCCGGAGAAAGGGTTGACGGCCCGCTGGAGCCGGAGAAGAGAGTTGGGGGTGAGTGGGGGCAGAAATAAAAGCGTGGATCTCCGTGAGGGAGGTGGCGGTGGGTGGGATTGTGGGTGGAAACGGGTGGAATTGAGTGGCAGTGGGTGGAAAATGGGGAAAGTGGGTGGTATTGGGTAGAAGTGGGTGGCGGTAGGTGGAAGTGGGCGGCGTTGGGGGGCAACTTTCCGATAAAATCCCGGGCGTGTCCGGGAGCAACTTTTTACCGGCGCCGGTTCTGAAATGTCCGAGGCCCCGGGGGAGGCGAATTCGCGGACTCTCGAGAGGGTGAGCACCCCGAGTCGGTCTTTGATACGCTTTTCACGGAGGTAACGCTCGATTCGCCCACCAGCTGGACGAGCTACTCGAAATATCGCCGGAGCGTAATCCGCCCCCGAAACGAGCCGAAGTTGAGCCTAAGGGTGGATTTTGAGGGCGATAGGGTGCACCGGTGTAAAAAGGCCCGTTTACAACGCGCTTCTCCTCCCATGGACAAGGGGAGTGGGTATGGGGTGGAAGGGAGCGTTTGCGAGAAATCTCTGATAAAAAAGCAAAAATCGTGTAGCACGCTGAAGTAGCATCACTCAAATCAATACGGATTTCCGCGAGAACCGTCGAAAATACCGAAAAACATCTCAGACAAAAGTTATTCCTCAGATCCTTCCGGCTAACTTTTGTACGGGCCATTTTTCTCGTATCACGCGATATTAAGAACGAAACCTCCCCTTATCTCGAACGTGACCGGCGGCATGCTGCCCCGGCCAAGCCGCTGTCTTTAGCGCAAACACGTCCGGACCGTCGGAGATAAATGCAATTTCTCGGCGTTCCCGCACGTTTCGCTGAAAAACGTCCCAGACAAAAATTGTTTCCGATACCACGCTGCGCAACTTTCCTACAAGACATTTTCCTCCCCGTCAAAGCCTTCGGGGTGAAAAACGCTCTCGAAGAAGTCCGCGCGTCACCCGCTTGCGCATAATCGACCGCACCCCTTGCTCACGGGCAATTTAATTCCCATTAAACTTGCAATTTTTTATAAATACTTTACGCATAATCCGCGGGGGTAACACCCGATAATTGTCCACTGGGAGTCTCTCCTCATGCCCGATGAATATTTAAGGGGTCGTAAGACCAGAGAAAAAAAAAATCCTCGCAGACTCCGGTCTCCTCGAAGACGAGGACGAGGGTTGGGAAGCTTTGGGATAACTTCGGGGATGAAATTAGCAGACTGGGATGGTTTTCCTGGGTGAGCGTACTTCTCGTGTCGTTTCTCGAATGGATCCGCGAGAAAGTTTCGCCTCTCGTCCCGTAATTAAGCCAGAACGAGGTTAACTTACAGCCCGTAAAGTATCCTTACACACCGACACCCTCTGCCTCCTCATTTTCAGGGCCACTCCTGCGAATCGTAGTTGACCCCCTTTGAATAACTTTTTGTTTCAGTTGAAGGCCTTCTACGTGGACCTCCTCGTTCCCCTGGAGACCAACCTCGAGAAGGACACGAAAGTCGTCCAGGTACGTGATTTTTTAATTAATTTCTACCCCGCGCACTGTCCAAATTTAATTTCTCCAAAACCCTAAATAAGGAAAGCGACCTGATTAATTATCATTTCCATCCTCGGTTAAATAATTATTTTTCCAGAGCGAGCAGAAGAAGTTTCTGCAGCAACACAAGACCAGGTCGGAAACTTACAGCAAGGCAGCAGCAACTATGAAGAAACAGCGGAAAAAATCACGAGGAGCCAGCAAAAGTGGTCTGGCCATGGACAAGGAATTAAAGAATATGCAAATCCTTGAAGAGGAAAAGTCAAAATTGGACGCCTTTTGCGAGCAAAGCCTGAAAAACGTAATTCCATTCATACTTATTTTATACCACACTCTCCTCAATGAAATAGACAGCTGTCAATTTGCATAGACATTTGATTCACTTTTTGAACGGTTACGCGTATTGTATGTGAAACAAAATCTTCCATGATATTTCGAAACAGTATTTAGTTTCAGTTAAAAAAGACGTGCAGTTTCGTAAGAGGCGAGGAAAGCTCGAACGCGAATGTAATCGCGGTTTTTAGCTGCACGTAAATCCGCATTAGAGGGAAAGTTTGCATTTTTCCTTCCCCGAGAAAGTCTTTCCCTGCAAGTAAGTGCATCGTTATCTCAGAGCTGTTTAACTTGCACTCGCACTTAGAGTGCAGGGAAGTGTGAACGAGATGGATTACAAAAGCAACGATGTTTATTTCTCAGAGTGGCGAAACTCTAAATAGAATTTTAAATGAAAATTGACGAAAAAAAAATAAAAAATAAAAAAATTGACGGAACAATTATCTGGAAAAAATCTGATATTTTTAATATTGTCTCTTTCAGGCCATGACTCAGGAAAGGCGAAGGTACGGATTCGTCCTGGAGCGACAATGTTCACTTGCTAAACATTACGCGAGTTTTCATGAAGTCGCCCTGTCGGCTTTGCATCCCTCGGTCGACGATTGGCGAGAAATAGCGGCCACTCGGGAATACTTGCCGCAATCCGTCGAGGACATGTTCGCTTCCAGACTGAGGGTAATCCTACATTTTTACTCTATTCCCTCAGATTTGTCTTTCTAAAAAAGTAAGGAAACACGTCGATAAATTTGATCGACGTCGATGAAGAAGGTTCTTCCAAATACGTCATCTCGAGAGACCTATTCATTCGCGATGTCTACTCGCGAAGGAAATCCTGATTTTTGGTTTACCGGTTCCTGCTACGAAGAAAAGTGTAAAGAGAAAGTTGCGTCTTGTCTTGTCCGGAAGAAGTTTCTCATGAGACGTTTTTTTGTACGCGGCATTGTTTACCGAGGAAATAATGTTTACCGTGGGTAACGAGAGTCGTCCTGGAGGGATCTTACCGGAGTGAAGAAATTTCATCGCTCAGTGTATGACGCGTGTACTCATAATCGCACCTAAAGAAACACAAGGCGATAAGGCTCTTTCGCTATAAGGACACCGAAAGGCAGTAATCACGAGTCGCCTGGCGTAATGAATAACCGTAGTCATCAATTACCGAGATTGTTTAACGAGTAACCCCCGATCCGTATCCAGAAACCCGATATTAAGTGCACGTACGTGCTGTAACGAGAGAAACTCTCGGTATCGGGCGTGCAATAAGAAGTGTCGTAATGGCGGATGTAGAAAGTGCAAAGGACTTCTTGTCGCGGTTTAACGCCTGTATTCAACGCCCCAAGTTGTAACAAGCAGGACAATGAGTTTCTCTGTACGCGTACCTAGGGGGGAAAAAAAAAAGTCGCCCGGTTTTGCTCGGTTAATTAGCCGACGTCCATTCCGGTAATATTTCTTGTACCGATACTTTGCGCCATTTTATTACGCAGGTGAACCACCTGGTTTTTTAATAAATCTTCGTATCCAGGTGATTCATTACCTCAGATCATTTCAAACAAAATTTCTATGACTCCTTAGAGCGACACTCGACATATTCTATACGTGAGTGTAGTTACCTAGGAATTTTTCTAATTTTTCTAACTCTTCCCTTTGTTATTTAGATTCGTCTAAAGTACGTTTCCACGTGTTACGCGAACGCGGGTTTGTCGGAATTGGGCAAGTTATAATCTCTGGATTACTTGTACGTGCTTTCAGCAAGTGTCGTTCTGGCCCGAAGACGAGGAAAATGGCGGCTCGGAGTTGACGATGAGTTCCCAGTTGCGCAAAACCAGAAGCATGGACAGTTCCTGTCTGGAATTGCGACTTGGACCACCGACCGGAAGTGCCCCGTCCTCCGCCCACCACGGGGGACCCCCGCACCTGCCCCCCGTCCTCTCCAGGGCCAGGTCGGAGGTCAACCTGCACGCCTCCACCTTGTCTCTGGGACCAGGTGAGTTACGCGTTTAGATTTTCCTGAATCAACCTTAAAATTCTATTTGATCAGTTCGGTCCATATATATATATATTTTTTTTCAGAATTAAAAATATTTATTTGTGTTACGGATGAAATCTGCAGATTTAATAGATTCAACAGGTTGAGGTGACACGAATGAGTATGACCAAAAGGGTGTAGATGAATATTAATATTTCGACCTGGATTAAATTTCTCAGCGCCTTTCACATCATCCTGAAGCTATTTCCTTCTTTATCTTCAAACTTGTAATTAATTCATTACTCGGAGAGTACGATTATTTTTGTAATTCGAGAATATAATGGAAGCATAAACTGCACACGGTGTCTCTCGCTATATCGAAAATGCTGTACCTAGTTCTCCTCTCACCACTTCCCCAACAACAATGATCCTTACCAACAGTAATAAAACGCATATCAACTCCATCCCTTATCCCAACAGCAGCCCGAATTCCCGGACAAAGTGACGCACCCCTGGCAATATCACCGGGGGTGGTTTGCGCCATATTTCGCCCCCTCCCTCTCGACGCACATATTCGAGTACACCCCGTGCACATACAGTACTACAAAATGCGCTCGCAGCGTACAGAATTTCCCGGAGTTTCCGAGAACCGAATTTATATAAATTTACTGGAATTTGCTGAAAAGCCTTACGGCTCGAGTCGGTCGGCTTTTCATCGATTCCTCGTGAAGGTAGAATTCCAGGGAACGCCGGGTAATTTCTTTTCCGAATTTCTCGGAATTTCCAGAGAGAAGGATTTATCGAAATTTATCAGCGATTGAAAAGCTTCAAGTTGAAAGTAATTGGCTACAGCTTTTTGAAAGGTATCTCTCAATTGAAGATCAGAGTAATGTCGCAACTCACGGTCTCAAGATGTCCATTTTGACGGCGAATTTTCCCGGTAATTAAATTCATGTCGTTTTATGTGAAACTTTACGTTAAAGTCAATGACAATACAACTGGGTCTTGAGAAATTTGAAAATACAAACATTACCTACCAAATAGCAGAGCTACCGAATTTCCCCGATTTTTCTTCAATTTTCCACCATTTTTCCGAATTTCCTCAAATCCACATTTAACAAAATTTACCCTGGATTTCATAAAATTCGAAGCCGAATAACTAAAGCAAAGATCAATAAAAGCTCCTGCTCCCCCAACAGGCCGTAGGAAAAACGCGTTTCGAGCGCGTGGAAATTCCCCGAAAATCCCTAAATTTCCCTGAATTTCCCCAAAACCGAATTCATCCGAAGCTCGAAGCGGCAACCGGTCGACTTGACACCGAGAGCTCGCAAAAACACAACTCGAGTGCATCGAGTGTGTGTCGAGTGGAGCTGGCCACTGTTTGCCGTGTCTACACGGGGAATTTGCAATTTTTCCACTTGGCCCGTGCCACCCACCGCCACCCACCACCCACCACCCACGCTTGCGCAGTATAGACATGCGTGTGCATTCGTACCTTCACACATTTCAACCTTTACATGCCTCCACGTTGCTCGCAGGCTGATTTAGAGAGCTGCGAGTGTGGAGCCCGGCTCAAGGGAAACGCTTTTCGCGCTTTTCACGCTTTTCGCCCTTTTCGCGCTTTTCACGCTCGATTCACTCCAGGGACTGGTCGGGCAATTTCGGGGGGCCGCGCAATGAGAACGACGACACGCGAGGAAGAAGTGCGCCGCAATTACTCGGCTCGGTACATCCGGGTAATTTGTGCACTTGGCTGGACCCTTTTTAGGGGATCCTTTGTCCTTCATACGTTTCGCTGGCAAATTTATTTAATCCCGTTGCGATCTCTTTGTTGACGACAATCAGGAATATCGCGAGATTGAAGAACAATACAGGACACTTTCTTTTTACGTTTCATTGTTAAGTGTAAGTTTCATCTTAGGGTGAATTTCGCCTTCAATTTGCGGCGAGGAGGTAGTTGACACTTTCGGAGGTTTGCGGGGAAGGGAATTTTCATGGGAGGTCGAGATGGGAAGAGTGTCAAGGGGAAGTGTATTATTCATGGTGAGATTTATGTGGAGGGGTGAAACCGTTGTATTTCTGTTTCAGAGGTGCCAGAGACACCCCCGCGACCCAGATCCATGGCTCCGGCTTCGAGGAACAGCGGAAGCGTAGGGGGTGGAGGAGGTGGGGGTGGGAGCACAGGGGGTGGTGGAGGGTCTCATGTCGGAGGTGGCTGGACCGACACCCCCCTTGCGAGGGCTCTCTTTGCCTATCTCAGCTCCGGGGAGAACCAGCTGAGCTTCCTCGAGGGGGACCTCATCGCCTTAATGGGTCAGACACCTTGTCGGTTTTCTCGTTTTTTCATCCCCTATTTCCCAAAATTCACCCTTGCTCGTTCTTTTTCGACCATGGAAACGATCGTTCGCTTGATCCTCAACCCTTCGACTCTTTCGTTATTTTCATCGCACAAAAGACATCGCCTCGCATAATCGAAACATCCCTTACAGTCTCCTCTCCACCCCTAAAAATCGTATCCGAGATCCCCACCGAAACCTCTCCCCGATCCCGAATTTCATTCCGATAAACCTACCCTAAATCTCTAAGCCCTTTCCCAAAGGACATCGCCTCGAATGATCGAAACATCCCTTACAGCATCCCTTCCGCCCCCAAAAATCGCGTCTCGCAGCCACCCCTCGATCCCGAATTTCAAAGCCACAGCTCTCCAGCGAAGATCCCCGAACTTTCCCTGAATCCTTGCCGCCCCTTTCCCGGTTTCCCCGTTTCACCCCCAAAATCCTCACCCCATGGATTCCCCATCGGTCGGAAGAAGCTTGCATCAAAGACGCGAGAACCGAACCGACTGTCTCTACCTCCTCTTTCCGTCCCTCCCCTCGAGACATCCGCTCTTCCCTCCGGAAGATCTTTTCTCCCGACGAGAAATTGGATTCTCTCGGAGTTCCTTTTGTCGAGTTTAGCGCCTCGAGACTCGGCCGAAGGGGCACTTTGTCATTCGCGAGGACGCGACTCATTTACGACCCTTCCTTGCGATTTATCGAGCTTTATCGTTCCAGGAGACCGACAGAAGGGCTGGCAGTTCGGCGAGAATCTGCGCACGCAAAGCTCCGGATGGTTCCCCCTCGCCTACACCGAGATCATCGTCGATGAGCCTGGGTAAGGATCTCGACGCGAGGTCGAACTTCCTAGGGGATGAATTACGACGCCGCGGAGGCAATTAAAACGATCCGACTTAATTTTCCTTCTTACATGACGTTATAATAATATTGCCTGTATGCTCAAAATCGATCTATGAATTCGAAAAATTCTTCGCCTCGGTGTCAGATCGCCCAATCACGGAGTAAGCAACGGTCGTGGACCGGAAGCGAGGACCATCCCTCCGTGCAAACCACCCCCCTCGAGGCCGCCCGTCACCCCAGGGGTGGACGACACTTCCGGGGGCAGTCACCCCGGATCCGGGGGGCACAGCAGCACCGACAATGGCAGTGCAACCCCCACAAATGCCCCCAGCAGTCTTGGCTCTCGTGGCCACGGTACCCCGAGCTCCAGACAGTCAAAATCGGTAAGTACGGAAGAAAGTACAGGGTTTGAGCACTCGGTAATTGCGCAGAAATATTCTACGTAAAAAACCGAAGCTGAAAGTCTAGTGGCACTTTTTTCTTAGGTGCATGGTCTTCTCCCTGATCAAGGGCAAAGTGCTCTTCGGATCCCATACTTTGTTTCATTATTTAACAGGACACAACCTCATGTTCTCATCTCCAGAATTTTATGTACGAATAATCCTTTAAGTTATCCCAATCCCACCCCATGTTTAATCCAGTCCTGCGGTATACACGTATTTATTCATCCCTCCATCCACAAATTCACAGGTGAGGCCGTCCGGCACTCTGCCCGCCGCCCTGGCGGGCGGCCGTCGGGTGCAACCACCCGTTCCGCCCGTCCCACCCCCTCAAGCTGTCACTTCGTTGCACAGCAGCAATGACAGCGGCTTTTCCAACGAACCCCCGGTGCAACCTGACGTCGACTACAGCGACGACGAGGCCATGAGGTAAACTATGCCTTGACCCACCTCGCCTGAATTTTAAATTACTACCCCGTCCCCGAAACCGAGGAGAAACTAATTACTCGTTACTTTTGATAAGGGTTGCTACCCTCAAAATCGCCCGAGGGGATTTTTACAGATCTTACCGATCGTGCACTTCCCTCGAAATGAATGATAAAGAGATTGGAAAAATTGACCCCCTTCAAGAGGGGGGAAAAAAAAATTCCTGAAATGATAGAAGTCGTTGAAATTATGGATATTAATTATCGGGAAATAAACGGCGGATGTAATTTTTCTATTCCACCGGGCGATTCCTCGGGAAAAGTGACGAGTGATTAAACGGCCTCTGGAATCGTTGGTGCAATCTGGAAATATAATTTTATCGCTCCCCGTATTTTCGCTCCATCCTGGTCTGTTATTTGCTGGACTGCTGTAGGCTTTTTTTCCCCGAGCTTTTCCGAGCGTTCGGAAGTGGCTTTGTACAATCGCTGATACCCGCCTTCGGTACAAGATACGACCTTTTGCTTCCCCTCGGAGTTGCATCGTGATTCGCGTAATTCTCTCTTTGAAGTTTCTCGTTTCAGTTTTCCTCCCCCTTTTTCCCCCCTTTGAGCAGTTCCGGTAGAGAGTAATCGCGCGTCCCGTCGATTGCGCTTCGATGTCCTCTTATTGAATGCTTTTTTTTCAATTTCTAATACTTGGATGTCCTTTTCTACAGTAACGTAGTGCCTCGATATTACTTTTAGACGATGGTAAGGAGGTGGAAAGAAAATGATAAGGTACCTGCACTGATTATTTCTGAGCGACCGATTACCCCATTTTTAATGTCTACGCTTTAAAAATAAGGCCATTGAATTTTAAGACATCTCTACACTTTTAAGTCTTGACATTTCTCCATTTTTTATTAAGTCGTTCTGTCTCTAATTCGAGCAGCGTGCAATTATTTACAATTTAATTTATTTCTCGTTTAAAAGGGACTTCTAATATTTTTTTTTTTTAAGCTTTCTTTAATGACTGAATTTTTGATAATTTTCTGTCAATGACACGTTTGTCGAATTTTCGAGTGTAGTAATAAAAAAAATTATGATGGCCGCTTTCGCCCCTCTCGCCCTAGCCATTTTTGTTCGTTCTGTTCTCCTTCTTTGTAGATACCGCATGCGTTACCGTGCACGGTGGAATTAAACGCGTCGGTGGTGGCGGATCCTAGAATCCTCGGGTCTCTCCTTAAAGGTAAAGGAATCCGAATAAAAGGTGCGGAACAGAGTAATTGAGATATAAATTAAGGAGCCTAGAGATAAAAATGAAACTTAAAAAAAAAACTAATCTACCCTCCTAACAACTTATAAGAATACAATTCTCCATTCTTCCCCGCTCTGCGGCGGCATTCTCCGTTTTCTTTTCATACTTCTTTTCTCTCCCTTTCCCACCCTTCCTCTGACCCAGGGAAATAGTACTTGGAATGTAGCATCTTTAAACTCTCGAAAGAAAAGAGAACGATCTAAATTAACTTTCCTTATTTTATGAAAAAGTTGGATATCGAAATACTTCACGTACGCAAATGTCGGTTTTCGGAGTTTTGTCTTTAGTCTCGATGTATAGATAACTTTCACTGAGGTTGTACTTAAACAATTTCTAAGAGGATTTGCCCGAGTCTCCCTCCAAGGAGACCTAACCTCTAAAAACAAGTACGACTCGCGACGTCGATAAATTGACGAGCCAAAAACCGCTCCCAGAATCCCTGAATAAATCCCGGCGAAGGTCCTGAAGGAGTCCTCGATTCCGCGCAGAAATCTATTCCCTATCCACGGTATCCTTCAGGATACAGATCCCCTCCCCAGGATCGAGCTTTTTATTTATCTTGTGCTCTTCCCCCGGGACAAAAACCGATGCAGACGACGAAGAAAGCCCCGAAACGACAGCAGCGCCGTAGCTGGCGAGCGACAGAAGGAATCGAGACGAGAGAAGAGTCCAGAGGACTGGGAGAACGATTCCTGGAAAACCCTCCCTAGGGATGAAAAAAGCTGGCAGCTGTACCGAAGTGCGATGGACTTATGGGCAGACGTGCACCTCCAGAACGGGGAAAAAACAGAGCCAACGGTGCCCCGTCGTCAGCTGACGAACGGGAATCGTCGCTTCGAGGAGGAGGCCCGGGAGCAAACAAAGAAGAGGACAAAGGACCTGGAAAAGACTCGGCAAGTGCCAAACGCCAGGAACAAGATGTCCACCCGAGGGTCTTCCGGGGTCCAGGCATCAGCCACGACCCAGAGGAACCAACATGGGAGCCACAGAAGAGGAGCCGACGAGGACCACAGGACCCAGCACGGTTCCCACAGAAGAGAAGCCGACGACGAGTCCAGGAATCAACACGGCAACCACCGCAGAGAAGCCGAGGAAGATCATAGGAACCAACACGGGACCCACCGAAGGGATGCCGACGAGGACCACAGGAACCACCGAGACAGACGTAGGAGAGAAGAAGAGTCCACAACCGAGCCAGAGGCTGAGGACGAAGATGACGAGGACGAGGAGGAGGAGGACGAGGAACAGCAAGAGGACAGCTACGCCACATCCGGGGAGTATTCAAAGTACTACGATAGGGAGGGTCAAGGGGAAGACAGGAAGTATTCCCCGGAGAAGAGCTCCACGGAGGACTCGGAAGACGAGAGCACCATCACCTTGCCGGAGACTGCTGGGAAGGTGGAGCAGATCGCCCAGAAACTGGAGCAAACTGCTCAGAAGTACGCCAGGGAGCACAGTCCGCCGAAATTCTTAGAAAGGAGGGTGGAGAAGGAGAGGAAGGAGGATAAAGCCACCAGCACTAGTGGGTATGGGATGGAGAGGGAGAGAGAGAGGGATAGGAAGAGGTACTTCGATAAGGGGTCCCAGCACCAGCAGTCATCGACTTCCGGGACCAGCTACGAAAGGGACAGGGAGAGGTACTTCGAGAAGAGCCCTCCCCAGCACCATCAGCAGGTGTCTTCGTCCTCTTCCACCCTAGGCACTGGATATGAAAGAGACAGGGACAGGTACTTCGAGAAACCTGGACAGCAGCATCAGCAGCAAGCGTCATCAGCTCCTGGACACAGATTCGAGAGACCTAGACCGCCCTTCGAAGACGCTCCGGAGAGGCCCAGCTTCCGGGAGCGGAGATACTCCGATAAGGAGGAGATTTATGCTGAGACCAGCAGACCCCCCAGGGAGAAGGCGTCGCCGATGGACAAGGATCGAGGCTACGAGTCTAATTTCGAGACCAAGCTCGAGAGGTCGAAGGTGATCGAGAGACACGGGTACCAGAGGCCGGAGAATGGATCCAGCTTCAAGGCTGAGAGGAACGATGACAACAATAACACTTTGAAAGCGGAAAGGAAATTGCCGAGGCAGAATAGTCAGGCGCCGTCTAGGGTGTTTGATCAGGAACTAAGGCTGGAGACGAAGAGCCCGAAACTGGTGAAGAGGACTAAGTCCTTCTGGAGGTTCCGCAGGGATTCCGACGTCCTGGAGGGAATGGCACTCTGGCAGCACAGGTCTCTGGTTGACATCCCGAAAACGGTGAGGAAGGAGGAGGGCAAGGACGAGGAACACGAGGACGGGTCCAAGAAGCAGATCCTGGAGGATGGGGACAGGAGTGTTGGGGATCAGGGTCCCAAACAGGAACCTAAAGCTGCCGAGAGGATCCACGTACCGGAGAAGTCGGACTCCTTCGAGGAGTTCCCGACTCCTGCCGAGAGACCCAAGATCCTGGAGAGGTCCGAGTATCGCGCCCAGCTCCTTAGGGAGGAGAGGTCCTATTTCGTGGGGAACATCTCCAGGAAGGCGATTCTGGAGAAGGAGAGGAAGAGGAGTCTGGAGGCTAAGAGGAACGTCGAGGCTGGGAAGGAGGGGAACGATGGGAACCAGAGGGAACGCAGGAAGAAGACTTATGGCGAGGATGACGACGGACTTGTCCAGAACCTAACGGAGACGGAAGCTTCCGATGAAGAGTCCACGTATAGTTGTATCGTGGTTAAGGATCAGGCACTCTCGGAGAAGACGTTGTTGCCCAGGACTAAACTTAGGAGGGACAGTGATAGGGAGAGGAACACTTGCGGACCTTGGTACGATCTCTGGGGGGTTGACTCTTCCGTTAAGAAGAGGAAGAAGAAGAAGTAGATGAGGAATCACTTGGAGAATTAAGAGGAAGATTTCTACAGGATGATGGTGGTAGTGATGATGAAGGAAATCTGCTGATGATTTGGGATAAAGTAGACGAAGAAACCCTTGAAGAACGAAGAGGAAGATTTCTCCAGGATGAATGATAAAATAGTCTGTAAAACTGAAGGAAGGTATTCGGGGCCAAAATCGATTTTGATTACCAGGGATCATTTTGACAATCTCAATTGTTTACGTATCCACTTACAAATTTTACAACGAGCTCTGTAAAATTTGTAACTGAAACATAACTCGCCTTGAGTTGCACTCTATGTTGCAAAATGTTCGCAATTGCGGCCGTTTACTATACAGATACATAATACGTTTGTGTTATTTTTTTATTAGTTGTGGATTACACGATTATTATTTTTTCTATAAGGTAATTGCCAAGGCTAAATGCCCAGCGCTAATTCTGGACCAATTAACCGATTATCAGGACTCTGTTTCTTTTTTCTCGAGGTCCGATTTTTGAGGGTGCAATTTATTTACCACATATATTTTTTTATATTTCCTTTTAGAGTTCGTTATACATTTATATGTGCATTCGCTTGCTCGTCGAATCTCTCGCTAATGTTTGTAGACCGCCTCGATTTGTATTGCAAAATGTATTGACGTTTATTCATTTTTTGACGTTTGCTTGCGATTCGCTCTTTTTCTTTTTTTTTTTGCGATGTTCATTGTATGCAGTCGCACGTTTTCATGTTTTATCTGCTCGACATTAAGGCTCGTTTGCATATGGGAGGGTCTCGCTATTTACATTGTATAATCCCAAAATCCATAAATGAAGAGTATATTCACGGAGTATTTTTAAAATCATTTTCAATTTTGCCAGTCTATACGATTAACTAATTTTTATTACACTTTTTCACACACGTTATGTTTGGCTATAAAATAGCCTTGTTGTTCAAGAATAAAAAATTGAACACGTCGATGTGAAAATAATCGACTCCCGTTCCTCGCGTTTCGGAAATGAAAAAACCGCGAGTAACGCAGGACGTCGATTTAAAAAAATCCGAATTTTTCGGCCCCATCGGGCCGGAATTTCGTAAAAATGTCGTTCTTTCAGGACCAACATCTTCGCAACGGTGAAGCTAAGAAAAACCAAGACGAACGATCGCTCGGCCCCGGCTCTCTGATGAAAGAAGTTGCCCTAAAAGTGGGCAAAATATGAAATCTTCACTTGGGGCTCGGCATTGATAACAAGGGAGTGAATCGAGGATAAGAGAAAAAGGCCTTTCCCGCCCAGCGAGAAAAAATTCCCGGGAATTCCGTCCGGTCGCAATTCCGCCGTCTTTGGAAAGACTCGACGACACCTCGAAGTCCATTTTTTTTTTTTTTTTAACAAAATGGTAGAATTTGGGAACCTAAACGCGGCTTTTTTAGGGAAGACGAGAGTTACGTGCAATTTGCATGCCAACGCTTTCGTTATTTCGCGCTCAACAGGTGTCGGTAAAGCAGTTCTCCGCTGAGGTACGACGCGCTAGTAAGTCGTTACATCGGGGAAAACGGGCTGTTAGGTGGTTAGAAAGTGCTACAGTCTGAAAGGTATGTCCTAGACAGGATGGTAGGATTACAGGTGACAGGTCTTGTCACTGCGAAGTGGAAATCGATCGGATCGATGCGATAAATCGCGACAAGGGTCGCCATGTTCCATTCCCGAAGCACGCTTTATTATATTCTGCATTTTTATTCCCAGCCACGGAAATAATGTATACCGCCCGGGGTCTAATTGTCCCGCCCGTGCGGATGCAATAAAGTTAACCGACACGTAATTATTCCTCGACGTGCTCGCCCGACATGTTCGATATTATCTTTTAATCGGCGAAAATTGTCAGTTCCATACACGTCGATGTCCTTCTTCCGCCCACTCGGTTGCAATTACCCGTGATTCTAAACATTGAACACTTGCCATTATCGAGAATCATATTCACCTTCGTATCCTAATTTTTTCGATTTTTATTCCCCGTTATTTACCCCGAAAATCATACATCCCGCCCGGGCGGATGATAATAAAGTTAGCCGACACGCAATCAGTCCAGAACATGCCGGAAACGCGTCGCTATCGGTTCCGCCCGTGGTCGAACGTCTTTTCCTATTTTTTAAACATTTTCCCTCGACCCGCCCTTTTATTAGAGCAGCTATCTCGCTTCCCACGTCACGACAAAGTAAAACTTTCATCTCGACCCCGTAAAACGCCTTTACGTCCCCTCGGCTCCGGTGAGAGGTCGTAAAATTTCAACTCTTTTTCAACCCCACTCCCTGGCCACGCACCTGATACGCACCCTCGTAGGGGGTTTCAGGGGAAGAACGGTCGAATGACCCCCTCGAACCACCCCCTTGGGGGGGCTCGCGACTCCTCCCTTAAGGTGGAGTGAAAGTGACGTCCACGAGGTCTCCTCTACGAAACCTATCTCCGAATTGAATTTACCGAATGATTTCAAATCTTCCAATGTGAATATCCAGTAATCGAGAAAGTCGAATTCGAATGGGATAAAGGCGATAAAATAATTATTGTAGGTAAACGGCAGGTGGGGAGTGCCATTTAGTACAATACCCAATATAATTCGACCCCGCTGTCGGTATAGAAACGAACGTCCGCAGTGTAGGTATTTAGAGAAAATCTTTTCTCCCGACGTCGATCAAGTACCTCCACGCGTTTCACTCCACCTTAACATCTCACCCCTTCATCTGCCACCCCCAACCTCCTCCCAGTGTCACCTGTAACCCCGCAACCTCGTACTTCCCCACCTTCCCCGTAACCTTATAGCCTCGCCCAACCCCTTTAACCCCTTCTCGTAAATGCATTTCGACGAGAAGCCACGAAGCACCCACCCAACATCCACCTGAAGGTAAACCACTCCGCTCTATCTCCCTGCGGCATCATCCCCGAGGACGCGTTACTCTGCCGGATGATTTTCCCCGGGATCCGGACCCCCCCTAGATGCCTTATCTTCTCACGTTTCTCGGCTTTTAGAACGGAACTCGACCCCGTGTCGGTGCCTCTCGATTTTTCGGGGCTAATGTTCCCTGCACTCCGCGACAAGGATTTATGGTCTCCGGTTTCTTTCCGGTTGGAGTACTAAGAGGGGATGATCCGTTCTTTTTCGAGTGAAAATAATATTAAGGCACGAAAGACTGATTTTTGGTGCCGCACTTTGTATAGCCTTTTGCAAGTCGACAAAATATGATAATACGAAAATATGAAAAAATATGAAAATCGAAACGGTCCTTTCTATTAGCCGCGTAGGCGGCAATTAATTAACTCTAGCGATTCGACGAGTGGCAATTGTTAATGAAAAAAATATTAATATATAAATATATCGGTAAGTGTCGCGATCGCGTCCGGGGGACGAGAGAGATAAATATGTATGTATAAATATATAACACGTTTAATATAATATCTTTATCATTTTCCTTCTCCCCTTCTGTGGGTTTTTATCCATTTCCTTTTGCGAGTCTCTCCTCCTTCCGGAAATCGTCGCCTCGACACTTGGGTAGGCTAGTATTAAATTGTTGTAATAATTTCATGTAAACAAACGCATATATATATTGTTATTATTATGGTTGTCTTTATTGCATTGAACCCTGTCTGTTTCCTGATTCAAGGAAGAAGTTTCTCATCAGGTACGTAATTATCATAATTAGTAGTTAAGTTAAATACGTACGTTCCACGGAATTAAATCAGGTACTAAATAAGGAGAGAAACTGTAGAATTTCACTTTCGTTTTATTCCTCCTCTTGAATTTCCAATTTCCTGTTATGAAAAAAAAAAAAATCGTATTTTCGAGGCGATATCGTTTCGCCCCTCTACGGTGTTATTCTGTATGATTTTTAATAAAAATGTTTCCGTTCCTGGTACTCCATGAATTCCGTGAAAAATAAGTTTCGGGGGAACAGGGATTATTATAGATATTAAAATTCATCGACAAAAAGGGGGACCGGACCGCCGGAAATTATTTGCAATTAATTCTTCTGTTATTCCGAGAGAAAATGAATATCAACCGTTGATTATTTCATTTACGTTTTCTCTTCGATCCCTCGAGGGAACAAATTTCACCAAACAGTATTCAGTTCCGAAAATGAGCCAATTTCCAAATTCACATTTAAAATTCGTCCACGTCATTGGAAAAACATATTTTGAAATGTATTGACAGCGTTTTGCCTGTCGGCGGCGTCATAACAAACGATTTTTAATAACTAAGTATTTATTTTCGTATATCACGGGAAAATTTAATTCCATCTCTACTTCCAGTTCTGGTCCAAGATAAAGAAATAAATAAATTTCTCATGAAAAATGAAATTTAATGAGTTCCAGGACCAGCTTTAGGGCCTCCATTAATCACGTGTTAAAATTTTAAATAATATGGTGCACCCAGTTTGGAGAAAAATTTTATAAATATTTTCACTTCTTGATATGTATATATTAAACTTTCATATCACCTTAAGAGGCCATCTCTCATCGCTTCGAAATTCCCCGATAAATTCGGCGGTTCTGGGAGGGACGAAGAGAGGAGGGAAGGGGACAGGACGAAAGGGGGGTCCTCGCATTATAATTAACCGTTTCGCAAATAAGCTTTGGCGTATTCGACAAACCGAAAACCCGAAAGCGAGGCCGTCGCGACGCGAAGTTCAAAGTAAAGCAAATACCGGGAGTTTAATATCGCCGGACGAAATGCTGCGGATCCGGACCTAAACACGTCCCTTCGCCATATCGGGAAATTCCCTCATTTCCGTACTCCAGGATATAGACCTTCGATTGCCAAAGGCACGAGATGTCCGATAAAAGGTAGTAATACAAAAAAAAAAATTAACCCGCCGGTTTGAATTTCCTCCCTCTGAGACTACCTCAGATAATTAATGGGAAATGGTTTCGAGCAATCTTTTCCATATCGCGAGGGGATTTTTTAAATATTTATAATAAAGAATAGTGTTTCTAATGGAGGAGACTTATATAAAACATGACCCATCTCGAGCAATTTGGGACACCGTAGAAATGCAATACTACAGCCACTACATGAACTAAAACATGTCCATGAATTACCCTCCCTGAAAAAAAATCAAAACGACAATCTCAGAAAATGTATTCGATTTTGCCTTCTCTCCTCTATTGTCAACACTTTTCCCCATTTCCCACGTTATTAAAACTATAAGCGAAAAAAAATGTCTTGCATGAATTATCCCCCTAGAAAAAGTGGAGGGATAAAACTCGAAATAATAAGTGGCCAGCAGAGGGGCGGTCGATACAATTCACAATTCTCGAGTCGCCATATCGGCGTACTCCGTGATACGGTTCAGGGGAATGAGGGGACGCCAGCGATTGTCGATATCGGCTGAATTACCGGGTTAATAATCGAGAGAACGGCTGTGCTCCCTGTCGAGGGATCCGAGGCCCTCCAGGCCTTCCCGATTTATGTCCCGGGAGATTGCAAACCGCGATCGTCCGATCCTTCGGGCGAGCCACACTCGTCGACGTATTTTGCCGAAGTTTGCAGAGGAGAACCTTGAGTAAATACCGGATATATGGGGAGGGAATGTGTATTTTGTCACGGGGGTAGCCCATCAAATAAATGCCGGAAAATCGAGCCGAGAGAAATGCCTACATCCCATTTCGTTTCATTTTTATTCCTTTCACGGTAATTTTTATCAAATTGGATGCGACATCTCCTCGGAAGTATGACAATTTATTTATGTTGAATTCTTCGAATTACCAATATGTTTCATTTTTTTTTTTTTTTCCAAATACAGAAACTAATTCTCCGTCATTTCCAAAATAATCTCCAGACTATCCCAACATAAGTTCTAACACCCTAAACATTTTTTCAATGATTTTAAAGCAAATCCGAAAAAATAAAAAGTCGGGTAAATATTTTCAAGCCGAAGCAACGGGGTGGGAAAACCGGAGCCGAATAATCGGAGTTCCCGGGGAAAATATCCATTTTCCATGCATAGTATCAACGTTTCCCCTCCAGCTGTGAAAAACGGGCGTAATATGGAAAAAAAAAAAAGAAAAACTTGGCGGAGGAATTACGGGGTAAAATCTTTCGAGGGCTTAGCCGAGCCCTCGGCATCACCCTTCATTAGTTAGATTAATTCGGACCCTTTAACGATTTTATTTAGCGGCCCCCGCCTTTTCCGCCGCTCTTTTCAGCTCGCTCGGCCGCTTTTCAGGACCCGAGCCCTTCGAGTGGACTGACGGAGATCCGACGTTTCGACGTGCACCCCTTTTTTCCATTAGGGATATTGAATTCGGCCGCCGGCCGCGGTGGACCAGGGCCGAATTAATTTCCGCAAATGTCGAGGAACTCGACGACGTCGGGGATGACCCCCGGCTTTGTCAAGGCAAGCTAAAAATTCACCCCAATCCATGCCCGGTCTGGGCGAAACAAGTCTGTGGGGAAAATTATTCAAATATGAGACATCTCCATGTTGGACTCTTAAAAGGGTTGAAGATGGCATATAAAATAGGATAACGTAAATATACAAATTATTATTAATTGTAGTTAATTTTTCTCCGTTTATGGGTAGAGAAATAGGAATAATTGCTGCGGGTCGTAGGTACTAGAAATCCGGCAATTTCTCACCCTTCGAGTAAGCCCATAAATAAATCTTTTATTTCCCCCGAAAAATGTAAATCGTAGTCATTCGTTTCCGGGTGGAGGGAAATCTCCCGCGGTTAATCAAAGCCCACCACGGATTAATTGTGGGTATCCAAAGTTTTAATGACTCGGTGTACGAGGTGGCAGTATCTCTCTCAAGTTCTATTCTCGGTACACGAAGTCTAGATTCTGGTCTCTGTACATCGGCGGCATAATAGAGTACTCCACGCCAAGTACCAGCTACTTTAAGGCACGTGCTTCCATCAGCCCTTTTCGCCCAACTTTAATACTCATTGCAAAGTTCTGGGTTAATGGTGCTTCCTAGGAAAAAATGCTTCCAACAAAAATTCTCCCTCATACTACGCCGAAGAACTTTTATGTTACATGTTTTTTTCCACGACGTATCGTGAGAACGATAAACCGCTTACTTCTCTTCGCCGTGTACAGTACCAGATCTCGGCGCGCTCTTAATGCGCCGCGACGTTAATGCCGTTAATTACTTGGAATAATTCCCGGCCTTAAAGTTCCGAAAGTAATTATGTACCGCGATGTAAAGTTATGATTTAGCGCGTTCTCGCAAAGTAGATCCGACTTGGGCGTGTAATTTCGCACTCGAGAGACCCAAGGCGTTTCCCTCGGGAAACCAGGGATCTTGTAATAATTTAGTCCTCCTCTTTTACACCTAGAGTTCTAAACGCGATAAGTTACATCAGGAACGACGAGAAATTCCAAATAACTCATTGCTCATTTCTCCACACTTTTTTTTTTTCCTAGAAATTTTGAGAAATTGAAGCTTCCTCGCGAAGAAAAATGTCCTAGACAAATTGCAGATCGGTTGAAAAAAAAAAATTGGCGCTCCGCCCCGAATCCCCCGCTTGCCAAACATTCTCCTAAACATTATTCGACAGTGATTTCCCGCAAGAGAGGAATAAAAATAAAAGAGGGATAAAATACGCGTCCCAGGGTCCAGTGGCCATCGGAGTCGGGTCCGCGAAACTTTCCAGCTCGGCGTTTCTTCCCCAAAGAAAGGCACTAAAGGACTCTGCCCGGAGCCGAGATACGAGACAAACTGCCTCGACGAAACTGCGAGCCCCTTATAAATATTTATAGACCCCACCCCACTCCCGAACCGACAACACAGATCGCATTGTAATGCCCTGCTTTGGCGTGCGCGCAGACCACGTGGTCGAGAAACGTCACCCGAATACTCAAGGAGAAGGAACGTATCCGATAGTACCAAGTATCGATACCGGGTACCTCCATACCTCCTATATACAGAGACTAGATTCCAGACCTTACTTTAAAAAAATCTCAATGTTTATAAGCGGATTTTCAACCCTTTGAACACGGAGCCATTTCGACATATGGGCGAAATTCGTATGACCGGGCAGGCAATATTGGACCAAACGTCGGGCGCCTTCGGGCGCTCTTAGTAGCCAAAAGGTTAAACAGTGAAATCTCAAAAGATGAGATAAATTAATGCCGCGGATGTTACGATTTTTCTTTTTTTTATTTCCACGTTTGCGCTTAAATATCAGTACTCGATTACATACATCAGGATCTCACTTATGACCGATCAACGGCATCGCGGCGACGTCCGATAAGAGCGTCGGTTTTGTATATTCATTTCTTTTCCTACATATTTATTCTCGGCCGGGCTTAAAGTAGAAGATGCTCTCCTATTTGCTACGATCGAGAGACTATCTCTAAGATGTAGAAAGGGTTACGCCAAAGCGCGTTTACGTCAGAGACTCGGTTTTTTCTAATCACTTCGCGGTAATTTGTTAAATTAATCTTAATATATTCCCCAGGTATTCACATTATTTTTCTTTTCAATTTTATGATTAGCTTTTATGACATCGAAATTAGAGTGAAATATGATAACGGAGAATATTTTACGTCCGTCTTGTTGGAATAATCGGTCTTTTTTTTTCAGCGCAATTTGAATAGAATTTTCCAAAATTTTGTTCCACCCAAAAATCGCTAACTAATACAAATACGATTACAACTTATCACAGCGTATCGGAGATGTAAGGACATACATGTCTAGTCTATACGAACAGTCTTTTACGCGGTCCCCACCGCGCAAGTTTTTTTTTCTCTTTTTTTTTAATACTTCTTTTTAATGGCAGAGCTGGGTACAAAATATCTCTATCAACAATTAGGACGTTACTCTAGATAACCATCAAGAAACATTGAAAGTGCGATTTCTAATACTCCAAAAATCTCGCCCTGAAATCGAAGTCGAGTCGGATATTACGAATTAATCCCGCAGGAAGTGGACGTCCAGTCGAAAGCATTTCAAATATTGCCCAGCTCTGCTCGCGAGAGTCTTTACTTTTTTCCATTTATTTATTTCTCGTTTCTCGAGAGCCCATCGGGAGAGTTCGAATTTCCTCCCCATTTCCCTTGCCCTTAATCACGCCAAGTACATCGGGAAATACCCGTAAATCGGTGTAAATACATATATACCCAAGAAGGTGGAGGAGAGTAACTAGAGCGAGTAACGCGTAAATACGCAGCATGTAAATACGTAATCGCCTCTGATAATTGCATCTCGCAGTAACTCGATTTAAGGCAGATATATAAGGCAGGCTGCTCGGCGACTGTAAAAATAATGAGCTGCACTGTACGCATTTAATTAGGACGTTTACAAAACGGGCCGATCGATCAGAACGGCGGGAAAATTGCACGGGGAAATTACGAAAGATACCTTAGACGCGAATTAATATCTTTAACGGGTAATTTCCAAACACTGGGAAAATTGCGCGGAAAATGAACAATACCTTTCAAATGGAATAATTAGTTTAGCAGCTTATATCCTTAAAAGCTTACAGGAATTGGCCATTACTGAAGTACCTTGTTGTACCACTGTACTCTATTTTCCATGCGTGATATAATTATAGCTGATGGCTGCCGAATATGTTAGGCACATGCAAGTTAATTAGATTAATTATATATCAATAAACAGTCCTTGCCGGTAGACTAGAGATAGCGAAAAACATTTCATTTTTGTGCACTTCTATATGTGTATACTTATATGTATATATTAGAATAGAAAAGAAATAAATAATTAATCCCATCGCAACGGTACCTTTGGTGTAGCTTAATAAAAATATCCGCCGATAAAAATGAACACATATAATCGACGCGAACAGTGCTTAATTGTGCGCGATACAAGCTGAGTAATAACTATAAATTGTCCGAACAATTAACATGTAATTACTATCTAAGGTGATTAAGAGTATCTCTTAAAACTCCGTTTTAACACAGGCCATTAAACCGACGATTTTTAAATAATTAACCCAGTACCTGTCGATATTTACAAATAATTGAACATTTTTTAATAAAATAAAATGAAATAATTAAACATCAGGCGTTATTGGTAAACTTGATTTATACCATTTCTAGTTCGATAAAAAATTGTTATGTGCAATACTGCTGGTGAAAAGTACTGGAATACTGCTTGTAGGATGATTAACAATTGTTTAATCATTTATAACGATATGGCGCAGTATTATAACGGAGTTTCAATCTGCATTAGACGAGTACTTTAGAGTACATTATACATGCGATACATCTGGTCCCGACAAAGGAGATCTAAACTTAAGCCGACTGAAATCTATTGTTTCATGTCCCTGCTCAAAATGTTACATAAAACATGCCCATAAAATAAAAAAAAACAAAGAACAATTTAAAACAATACCCTCTATACATTTCATTTTCCACTACATTTTGCATTTTATTTTGCGCCAATTTTTTATGCAAAATTTTAAACGGGGACAATTACATAGAAACAATTAATCGACTGTGGTCGTTGACAATTTCACGACTCCGTACATAATATTATTGTCGGAATAACATTACAACGTGTACACCTATGTATATACCCTATGTACATGTACAAACTCAATTAACATTCGCGCGTGCGATTAATGTTGTGCATACATCGACAATTACAGTCGCACGGTACTTAGACGAGATATACAATGTAGTATCCAAATGTATCGGAGAAAAGTTATCTAAAATGTAATAAAAGTGTCATTGACACTTGAGCCTGTAAAGCCACGAGACATTGTATATAATTCTTTAACCCTTTAATTGGCAAAGTGACACGAGCCCTTAAAAATTACTCTCGCGATTTTATGACAATATAATTGACATCCACTTAGGAAGGTTCTACCTCGCTAATATTTTTTTCTGCCATTTTCTATCACTTTTTTAACTTCCCAACCACTTTCGGCATTACGATTGACTATTGGTAGACTAATTAGTTTATAATGAAAAATAATCTCCACTCGATTGAATAAATTCTTGGAAACTAATCTAAGCTTATGTTTAGGTTTACATTTAATTTAGTTTATGACTTAATTGCTTAAAAAAGAAAACGGGATTACTATTTTTATTTAAAAAATTTACTGATTTTCTTATTTATAATCAAAAGTACTATTGTTTTTCAAGAACATGGACATTTACCGATCAAAGGGTTAAAATATCGAGGAACATCGCAGAGGAACGCACTGCAACTAATTATTCCGGAGATAAGTTCCTTATTAGAGACGTATCATGTCTAAGTGAACATGATTCATGAAATGAAGGCGTAAAATGACGTAGTATGACCTCGGTTCAATTATCGTCTTACGTTTGTACGGGACAGCCTTAAGAAAACCAGAGCTAGACAAAATTGCACTCCGTCGAATAACAAGTCGAAGACTTTCTACGACAGATTTTCCAAAATTTTCTCTTAAATTAATTCCATTCTCGAAATATTTATTAAGGATATGAATTTATTAAATACACATCCAAGATGATGGTCTTGGCATCAAAAACCACGAATCCAGATTTCTGGAGTGTTACTTCGATTTCTTTATAATTATTGTACGAAAACGACTTATAGATTATGCCATTTAGTACAATACCCAATATAATTCGACACGGCTGTCGATATAAATACGAACGTCGATAACGTAGGTATTTAGGAGAATTCTTTTTACCAACGTCGATGAAATGTCTCGACGGGTTTCACCTCACCTCAATCACGCCGTCCAGCTCTGGAGAAATCTAGAATACGCTGTTAACAAGTGTCCATAGTATATCTTAGGCGAGGATTAATGATAATCGATAAACGTCTTGACTAGATTCTTTGCGATCCACGAGGAGTGCCGATCGCAGGTTTCTACGTATACAAACGTAAGCGTAATCAGCCGACTTGGAGTCGTCGAGATACCTGGAAATGGAAAGAGCCTATCCAAGGCTAGGACAGGTTGCTTGTCAGCATCCTCAATTGGCAAATAGTCTGCACTTAGAGAGAGTTGAAATCCTTTTTGCGTCACTGGACCGAGCATACTCTGGGAGCACCTCGAGACTCGTCCATCGCTGCTGCCCTCCTTTTGATTCCTTCCAGGTAAATCTCGCGATTGAACAGCCCAGCTGCCAGAGGAATTCTGAAAGAAGAACGGCGGGTCTTTAGATCCTGCTTGACCTCGAAAATCTATCTACGACACCTTCAAAGTACCGGAAATCGTTATAAAAAATGTATACGAATTATTGATCTCTTCATATCAGCTTAAATTAAATGAATGAACGCATCTAGTATTAATAATCGAGATCTTTACGTGTCTATTCCAGGTCTCAAGGTAGTCTTGAAGACGCCCCAGACTGGTTTGTGATCCGAGGTGCAGATGCTGGGTACAGAGTCGTATATTAAGCACTCCAAAGTGCCGTCCTTATAAGCCGAAGTGCTGTCACAGCTGACTCTTCTTATGTATCCCCTGGTGTGTCCTTTCCCCTTGAAGAGGATCCTGTCCGTGTAGGCAGGAGTCCGCTGTTTGCTGCTGGAGTCGAAATTCTGGGTGCCAGGGTCGTATTTGTAGGTCGGGGGAAACGTAATGGGAGCCTCCTCGAATCCTCGCAAAACTGCACCGTCGTCCAGGATCATGCGAAGTTGGTCCTTGTGAAGGCTCACAGGGAATTCCTGAGGGAATCTCGTGTCGGTCACCCACCGAACGACTTCTTCCCTTGGCTGGGCCAGCCTGAAGTTCAGGTCGCCGAACCAGAAGACGCAGTCGAAGTTCTGGGTCACGTCTAAAAAACGATAAGGGATTTAATTCATTTTTTTTTTTCTTATATTAATATTTATATCGCAACAGCTAACTGATTAAATTATTCCTCCAAATATTCTCGGAACGAAACCGCACCTTTACTCTTGTGTTTCGTGGGCAGATCCTTAGGGAGATCGAGGTTCCTCACGATCCTCTTGATGTCGCTTATTCGTTCCTTGACCTTGTCCTGATGAGCCGTCAGGTGAGCCGTCACAAAGAGGAAGCTGGTCCCGAAGATCATCAAGGCCAAGGCCACTGCACCCTTGGTCCGAAAAGCGGTTCCTGGCCTCGTGGAGAAATTCGAATCCTCCGGGACCGAACAGAACCAGATCAGGTCTCTTCTGAGGAAAATCGCCAGGTGAAGAGTGCCAAGGCTGGTGCTTGTCAACAGGACGTGAGAAGGGCCCACCGTTTCCTAAAAAAAATAATTCCAGGCTTTAAGGTGATATAAAAGTGGCACTGAATCGTTTCAAACTTTACAACGTGAATATGGAAACTGTAACGAAGCAGGTAACGTCCTGACACCCATGAAAGATCATATCCACACCTGCAGTGCAGCCTCCCATTCGCTGCGCTCCGAACATGACTCTTGTGTTCCAATGGCCAACATGTCCGGGACAGTCTCGATGTCCGAAGGCAACATAAAATCGTTGAGCTCCTTCGGCGGTGTTTGGCCATTCATGTTCCAAGTTCCGACAAAGATTTTGATCTCCCGATTGGGCAGCACTTTTTCCAGCTCAACAGGGCCCAACAATGAATTCGCAGCGACTCTCCCGTGAAGGAAGTTCCTGTAAATTGTTACAAACAAGACCTTAATTTTTCTTCTATTAGTTAAACCTTCACATATAATAAACGATCCGCGACCACATAGGTGTATAAATCAATTTTAATTTATCGCCGTTGATTAAATTTCTCGGCGCCTTTGATATCATCTTAAATTTCATATTTCAATTTTTTCATCTCGTTACCTCTCTCTAGCCTTTTGAGTAGGGATCAAGTTGAGAACTTGAGCTGCAAGTAGAGCTTGCTTCGCCAGACTATCCATGGAAGCTCCATCTGCATGGGAAACGTGGTTCCTCTTCGACAGGGCATCCTGAGATGTCGATCTCGGCTTCAGCTGGATTGGCGCACTTTTTATCGACTCTGGACTGGAGTGACGAAGAGAACACGTGGGCGACTCTACTGTCAGATTGTCAGCTGATCGCCGGTGCAGCAGCTTCCTCTTCAGGATCGTCGACACATTCGGAGACGTGGACCCCGAGGACGAGTGGTCTGCAAGAAGTGACTTTTTAATTTCAAGTAATGTCATCTGTAACGAGTAATTACCACCTTCGACGAGCTCGATTTACTTCTTATTTTATCCACAACCGGGGACAATGTTAAAAAAAGAAATATCGCATTTCAGCAAAATGTTAAAATATGATTTCGGAAGGACAAGCCGAAAGCCGGGCAAACTTGCACGATAATCGATTCGCATTCGCTTAGAAGGAAATGGTCCTTGAGAATGGTTGTACCTTCCGCGTCCGACAAGTTGTGGTCCTCGGGTACATGATAACGTACCATCCCGTAAACGTCATTTGGATCATATGATTGCCGCTCCATTTCCAGGAAGAAGTACGAGATGTACTTGCCCGATTTAAAATACTCGTCCTTCTTAGACACCTCGGGGCCCTCCGTCGTGCCTGGGACTTGTCCCCCGGGGTCCGGCGAGTTGCCCCTCCTCTGGGACTCGCCTAATTCTCGGATTCGGTAAATAAATAGCAAAATAAAGTCAAATTGCCACCCTCGGCACTTGCAAGGGGTTTTGGGGAAAAAATTAAATCGAAAACTTCGAACGCAAGGGCGGTTCTCGCGACACTTTGAACGTGCACGCAAGAGAATGGCCATTCTCTGGCTTAACAAAACCTCGTACAAAAAATTGTTACAAAGAAAAGTTGTAGAGTGGGATGTAATGTAGAACTTTTGTGAAGGGGATCTTTTTATGCCGCGCTTCGATTATCGGGAAATTGTGAATTTCTCCGGGCGAGTGGGTTCTGATCTTGAGAGATTCTGGATAAATGTTTTGTATGGTTTTCCAGGTTAACGATGGTTACAGCGAAGAAATGCTTCATGTAAAAGATCTTCGATACATTCAACGGAACAACTTTTGTTTGGAACATTTTTTAATATTTCGAAATGGCAACGAGAAAAATTGCGTTTATCCGGAGTGTGGAGAACGAGTGAAATATTGTTTTCCTCTAGACGTCGAGAAAGCTAGCTCGAGTGGGCAAATATTTAATTAATTAAAGGGCCTTGCATTCAATTTGTTTATGAATTTAATTCATACTACTTCGAGGACGACTCTAAATAAGCAAACAAAACATGGCGGCCAGTTTATTACGAATATTTAGAATATTACAAGGCCCAGCTGTACCGTTAATGAAATCACCTCTGCGTAATCGCGTAATTAACGTAGGAGCCATAATCTCTAAATAAAGAACTGTAATCACTGGCCTACTTAAATAGCTATAAATAATGCTTATTCACAAGCTTTTCATTGTGTTTTTATGATGGATGAGGAACAATCTATAAATAGTTTCCCATAAAGATGTAATAACTCCAAAACAATAAACAAGTGGATAACAAAAAAAAAATTGACAACAAATTATTAACTGGCCGTCATATTTAATTCGTGTCATGTCAAACTCGTGAATAAAATTACCGTTTTCATGACTGAAATGCTCGTCGGCTCCCAAGACAATCAGAGCCTTTGAATTACTGGGATTTAGGCCTGACACAGATTTTGACATTTCCTGTCGTTGCAATGTTTTGTTCGGGTCACAAAACAAGGAGCTCGAGGAACCTTTACGCAATCGACCGCCAGAATTCTGTTCTCGTGGCAAAGCTATCGTACAAGTATTCTGGACGTGCTTCTTATAAGGAACATCAACATCAGCCTCGTTAAAGTGTTCAGAACCCAGTTCGCTGTTCCCTCGACAGCCTCCTGCAGAACTCTCCGTTCTGCGAATAGTAATAGTACAAACAAGCCCTTGCTTAGTTTGTTCCTGTTGTAGGTTTCTATTCTCCTTTCTTCCTCCACCCTGAGACAGTAGTTCGGAGGGTCTCTCTGCAGGAACATGCTTTGATGATGAGGGAGGATTGTCTCCATTCTGTGGAACTTCGATCACTTTCTTCGAGATCGAAGAACTGGGAGAGTTTTCTCCATCGCTAGCCACTTTCTTCCTCTTCCCTCCTAAGAACCTCGCCAACTTGTGGAGGAAAGAATCTTTCTTTCTAATCTCCTTCTGCTCAGCCATTTAAACGAACGATATAACTTTTTCGGTGATCTCTTCGAAGCTCTTACTTTAACTGCACAGATCGCGTGACTCGAAAAAACGTTGTTCGTCCACTGTTGTTCTTGCTTGTTTCGGCTCCAGAGTCTTCGTACTCGACTCAATTTAGGCCAGCTATGTCGTTTTATGTATCATTTTTACATTAGTTTTTTTTTATCAACACTACACAGTGTTCCCTGATGGTTTCCTAACCAAACACACGTCCAACGTTACTTAACTTCGGTGATCTTACAAAAACCAGTGTTTCCAACGTGGCATGAGTGTTAACTATTTCACCACTAATATGGTGAATACAACTTGTATTGCCGTAGGCAGGAGAATCTAATTGATGCTGCAATCATCGGCACCAGAGTGGAGGGAATTGACTGGCAAGGTCGCTGCTACGTTACCACGAGCATCTTACAAATTTAAGCTGCTTCAAGAGTGGCAAGCAGTCCCTAGAGACTTAGAATCCAATCGTGTTGCGTTATTCACGTACGACCTAGGAGTATCAATGAGTTTGCTCGCACACAAGAGAAACAGATTCTCACCAAGATAGAAGTACTTAAATCGTCTCACCTTCCAGGCAGACACTCTGTCGTTGATCCTTCTTTCGGAGCTCGTTAAATGCAGCCATGTTCTCTGGGCTTTTTGATGCTGGATTGGCTGGAGCGCTATCAGCCTTTTCGACTGCAGCATGAAATTGACAGTGTCCGTTGATCGACGCTGCTTCAGACTTCACCGAAGCGTGGCTCGGAGTAGTCGGGGACAATCCACCAAGAGTCAAGCTTTGCGGAGGAGTTCCACTGCGCTCAGTCATCGCACAGCAGAGCGACAATTTAGTGCTCGTCCTCGAGCTGTGTTGGGAATTCTCGAGCTTAGAATCCTTGGTCGAGTCTCCATCCATGCAGGAGGTCTCCGAGCAGCCAATCTTTGTCTTCTTAGCCATCAACAAGCGGCACAGGGATTTCTTCTTCGGTTTCAGCTTCGGCGAGGCATCGGTCCTTGCTGGGGCAGAGGCATCGTCCGTGTTGCTTCGCTCCATAATACTCGATGCGAAGTCTTCAAAAGCGAACGATCAGTCCATCATCGCAGGCTTCTCTCTAACATTCGCTGTTTCTGGCTTACCGATTCCTGGTCCTCCGACTTTCCTAGGCAATCATTGATAACAGAACCGGAAACTCTGCATTCCTTTCCAGAATAACTTCCTGTACACCGGTCCGATTAACATCCTAGCAGCGCAGCGAACACTAAGCTTCTGGCAAATACTGACTAGCAACGCAGAGTCCATCGAAATCACTTGGAAACCATTTCAGCACGTCTAATGGGGCCTGCACGGACTACAAATTACTAGATCCGATAGTTGTCGCGACAGTGAAATATGAAAGCGGGGTTTTGGCACAGTTCTAAGGGGGAGTTTTTCAGCCTTGCGGACAAGTACACGCGCCAGAACTTGAGGACGCAATCGCTCCCTTATAGATATACTTGATTGTGTCACCTCGACGGAAATACATATCTTGAATTACGAAATGTACGGTGGTTGAATTAGGAATACTGCCACTGGCGGAGGTTAATTTTTCGTTTACGTCAGACACGAGACGATCGGTGGCAGACCGTGTCGGCGTCGCGATGGCTCGTGACAATTCACCTCGATTCCATGAACTAGCGTCTCCTTTTAACTCGCCGGGACCAAGTTAACCTTAAACTTCCTCTTCGCCGTCGAAACGAACCGTTACTCTTAATTTTTCCCTTATCGGCACCCGCATGACAGCTCGCTCGTTAACCACTTCGCCATGTTTTCCGCCGTTGTCGTCTGCTGGCCGCCATCTTGAATAAAGCACGTACGTACGCGCATGCACGCCACAGTACATTTAAATATCAAAGTTCTTATTCGTTTCGTTTATTGACCTTGGGTTGGTTCCCCTTTAGGCCTGGCTTTTACAGCGTGTTAATATATATTATCGCGCTTATACTTTCGTTTCTGATAGGCCAATATCGTGAATTTATTTATCAAAGTTGTATACTCCCGCACGCACGTCTGAATCATTCATTAATCGGTCACCAATGATATTGAAGAAACGCGCTCGATTCTGATTGGCTACCGGCCGCCATCTTGAATTGGAGCGCCAATTACAATCTAGTATTCTATATCTACTGCTAAACTGACGTTAAAAGAGAATTATAAATTAAAAATTAAGCTATTAGTGGTATATCGTCGTTTACAGACTATTAAAAACCGTTTGTAATTCTTTATTCAAGTCCACGAGGCCGAACAAAGCCCTGAGAAACTTCCAGGGATGTATAATTAAACGATTGAATTCAAGGCGCAAAATTCAAATCGCACTTATAGAAACTTGTCGGACGTCTGAAGGGAACGATTCTAAATCTATTGCGCCTTCGAAAGAGCATCTCGACCGGACATTATGCGTAGAATAAGGGAGATCGATTTCATCTTGAATTCCACATTTTTATCGACAATCGCAGAATCTGCAAAGTAAAAGTTTACTTGGAATTCATGCGCTAATATTTCAATGTGAATATTTGCAGTTTGTAATAATTCGAAAAATAATAAAGGGATGAAAGATGTTCAAATTGATTTAGTAGTATTGTACTTTTATTTTAATTTTACTATAGAGTTGTCAGTAGAGTAAAAGTCGACCTTGGGTGATGCATAGATATATTTTCGACGCAGATTACTCTTCCTTTTGTCGTATACCCTTCTCCACCCCAAACGGTTATGCGCAGTTCAAGGGGAGATTTTCAGGGAAGGCATTTGCGCATTTACGTTTTAAATGCGTATATTAAGAATAAGAACTACGAATACAAACCAACCGCTGCAGAAATTCTCCGTCAGCTCCGCCTTACTTGTCAAGGAAGGAAGTCGGCCATTTTGAAACTTCACTCGCCTACTTCAATCTGTAAACTAAAGAAATTCAGCCAACTTCTGTAAACCAGTTCCAAATAATTAAATAACAAAATAAAGGCGCGGTTACGTTTAATTTCCATCGAGATTCAAAGAAACGTGGAATTTCCGGCCAGCCACCGCAGTTCTCCGTCAGCTCCACCTTACTTGGGAATGAAAAAAAAAAGTCGGCCATGTTGAACCGCGCGACGAACGACTCGTCCCCGAAAATCAAGTACAAGCCGGGTCGCTCAATGGCGTGTGGCATATTCGTAACGATCCAGCGGTAACACCTGTTGTCGCTGATCGCGGTTCCGGAATCGAGAATCGAGTCGCCCTCGCGGAAGCTTCGAGAGTCGAGTCGGCGTCCTTGTTTGTAAACATTGTCGACGGCGCCGGTGCGCCGCAAGCGGCCCTTCGGCGGCGCGCGCGCGCCGCGTCCGGCTACTGCGCCGGCAGTCACGAAGGTGCACTTGCACAAGGTGGATCGTTTACTCCCCTGGAGCCGCGCTCGACCTCGAAGAGCCTCGAAAAAATGCAGGGCGCGGTGGTAATAAACGAAGCAGAATGGTGCGGTAAGTAGCGCGCCATGAGCTGACCAAACAATGGGCGTTTTCCCGAGTACCACCCCCGAACCCCATTCGACGAACTTTCTCGAATAGACTCGCCGATTCACATCGACGGGATGATCCCCCTCCCGAGAAATCGTTTAGCCTCACTGTCAATGAAGACTGTAACGTGCGACAGTCCACGGGAAGGGGTTTTTATAGGATATTACGGGTTTTTGGGTATCATTGGGGTTAGGGGACACCGACGGGGTGTTCGCGACGTAGATGCGGATTACCGGCCCCACGTGTCGCGGGCAGCGCGCGCGGGGAGGGCGAGTCACGCTCTACGTTACCTTCGGGAAGGGGAAGAGGGTGCGTTTCCGCGACGAGCTTTGCGTCATTATCGCGGAATGGTGCTGCGGACTCCCTCGTGTTTTGTATATCGATAATTAGGAATTTTTTAATAGGGTTAAGTCGAAAGAATTTCGAACACAGGCGTAAGAATAAAGATACTATAAAAATGTATCCATGTTTACATGTGCTCTAAAAGACGTATACAACCTAGCGGATATACACATCGTGCATCCGTGGCATCCTCCATATTGGAAACGTAATTTACTGGTATTCTGCGCTAAACTATTTGATTTACGTAATGTATGTAAGAAACCTTGAAAAAAGTGTAATTGCCCAACCCTGCTCCTAACGCTAACCCCGTACCCGTCGGGAATTCCGTAATTCATGTAAAAACCCAAGACTCTCGACTTGGTTACGGTCAAGGTCTCTCCCCTGATTCCTTTGCCGACGGAGCAAGGGGCGGGCGGCGCGTAGTTCTCGGTCCGCGCCGCGAGGTGTCGCCCCGGCGCGCCGTCTCGCTCGCAAGCGGCCACCATTGTTGAATCCTGGCTGGCTTGATGCTCGGACGATTTTTCGGCCGAGAATCGTAAATTGCCCGTCGACGAAGGGGTCCCGGGCGCGAGGTGGGTACTCGAGGGGGTCGGCCGGATCGCGGGACGGTCTCGGGGTGCGTTCACGTCGTCCGGGGGCCGGCGGAGGGCCCAGTGAAACCAAGTGTGCCCATCGATTTACGGGAGAGAAAGAGGCACCCATGTCCGTCGCACGTCGGCGGGGTGTCGGTCTCGGCGGCGGATCCGCCGCTCGACAGGCAGCTCGAGGAGACGCGTGAGGAGAGACCGCGGAATACGCGCGGAGAGCGACGGAGAGGTCCCGACGAGCCGCCGGCTGGAGGCGAGACTCGCGCCGAGGTGACCGAGGAAGCCGGACGGGCGTCGACGAGGCGCCGAGAGCCGCTCTTTCCTTCCAGCGAGCGACTGCCCAGGGACCGTCGACCTGTCCGCATCCCCAGTGAGTCGAACCAGGGACGTCGAGACGGCTCGTCGGGGGCTTTACGATCCCGGGAACGCCGACGCCGACGGCCTCCTGGCGGGATCACGTCGGGCGTGTGTCGGAGCCCGCGCGCGCGCGCCCGACCGCGGCGTACGTGTACGACGCGGGCCGCGCGAGCGCGCACAGGCGTGCGGCGATGACACGCGCTTCCTGGGGAAAATCGGCTAGAGGAGTTCGGGACTTTTAACCGGTTAATGCGAGTTTGAGACGAGTTTAAAATTTCGGTGGATTTTTAACGGGGTTTGAGGTTCCCTCGTGCTTTTTGGTTCCCTGCGGTGGAAAGGTGGTGCAGGGTTGCGAAGGTTTGAGATCCTGGGGATGGTGGTGACAGAGCGGAGGGTGCTTCGATGAGAATAAATTTTGAGGCTCGTTGGTGGTTCTTGATTCGTAACGGTGGAAAGGTGGGAAAGGAGGAAAAATTGTAGCCGAGATTCAGTGATAGAGAGGTGGTGCGATTCGTTTGCAGTGTCTAACTAGTGCAAACACAAAAGCGAACTTGTGTCACGTAGTCGATACGAACGGAGTTTATAAGAAGGAGTATCCTGTGTGTAACGACACAGACGCATTTAGGTTATCGTAGAAAAATTCTGCTAATGTTTCATTTTGTTAAAAATTCATAATAATCTTTTAGCTGAACAAAAAAATGATCTAAAACAGAGATCGTTCCTTTCTAGAAACAGGAAGCACGGAGACCTGGACATCCAAGGAGCAAACCTCGACAACAGGGAGCAGCATTGAACGTGCTTCATACGATCGAAGACATACGCAAAGTAATCGAGACGAACGAAAAGGGAACCCCACGGATCGTCAACATGGTGTAATCCCTAATGATCATCGCGTCGCTCCCAGCAATGGTGAATATCTTTACGAAGGACATGAAATTATAATTGTTCGTTTAAAGTGTTATGAAATTACCATATATACCAAAAAGTCAAAATATTTATAAAACTGTTCTGCAACCTAAGGAAGAATTTTGTTTTTGTTCGAAAAATGAAATTTCGTGAGTTTCAAAACCTTTTCAATGCCACTTTCACATTTCCTTAAATTCTCAAAGGATTTGTCCTAACGATAAGCTACCGATTCTAGGGTTGCAGATACCGGAAGGCGCGCCCCATTGGGCGCTCTCCCCGAATTACGTGCAGCAGGACTATCGATGCGAGCCATTGGTAGTGCCGTCGGATCTGCAGAAGCTGTACGCCCTGCACGCGTCTAAGAAGTCATCATCAACCCGGGCGCAAGAGAGCGGGAACCATTCCAGTCGCAGCAGTGGCGAGTACCTGAATTCGCTCCAACCGGCCCGGAAGATAAACGCCACAAAGCTGGACCAACCGACCCGCTCGACCCCAGAAACATCATCGGTCCTGCCCAACTACACCCTGAGGAACCAGGAGGACAGCCAGACGGAGCTCTGGGCGAACCTGTTGCTGCAAAGCAGCCTCCACGGGGCCCATCTACAGGAGTCCGACTTCAGCGCGCTGAGCCCTGGGGGCCTGACGATACCGGCAAGCTGGCCCTGGCAGGAGCAGACCCAGAAACTGCCGAAGCTACACGAGTACCCTGCGTCGGGGAACTACTGCCCGACCTATCCTGACTTCGCGGTGGGCTTCCCCAGCTTCCCGCAAGCCCCGAAGGGACATTGGACCCCGGCGAGGGGGGTCGAGAAGAATGTAGCGTACCAGGAGGCCCTCGCCGATCGCGACAAGGAGTTGGAAGCCCAGTGGCCGACGATACATTCCCACGAGGGGGAACAGACGCGGGCCAGGATCGACCGGCAACTTAGTTTGGCGGATTCCGGGAACGAGGCCAAACCTGGAAGAGTGAACCTGGTGGACGGCGGTGCCTGGGGACAGCTGGAACGGCCGGGTGGATTGGAGTATTATTGCCACTCGAAGTACAAGAAATTGGGCTGCGGGTTGCTGAAGCATTCCGATCTTGCCGAGTCTCGTAGAGCTAGGGTATCGAGGCAGGAGGGCTCGGAGGAGGGCCGACTCGCGGAGCAGGAACTCCTGGACAATTCGAATGTCGTGAAGGGGAGGGCCAATCCTACGGAGGAACGGTTCGCGCTCGAGTCGACGAGCGCCTGCGAGGGACCGAGCCCCGGAGAGACGTCCAAGCTGACTCCTGGCTCTTCGGAGGAATTCGACATGTCCGGACAGTATCCGGGACACAGCCGACCTCCGGTCGGCACGCCCCCACCGCAGACCGTCTGGAATCATCTGACCATGACGCAAGGCCAAGGTGAGGCGCTACTAATTTTTTCTGAATTTGGTAATGAGAGCTTTGGGTTTTACTTCAAAATCCAAGGATCATTTGTCGCGGACTGTCTATAGGAATCACCTGCTCATGACGCAAAGCCAGGGTGAGAATGCTTTTATGAACGGTGCTTATTAATTATAAAAACTATCTTCCAGGCCTGAACATCCACCCCACGGCGCTGTCGGGGGCGGCGCTGAACCCGGCGGGTTTCTACACGCACCCTTCGATGGCGAGGGCGTCGCACCTAACGTCGCAGCTGACGCCCCAGCTGGCGCACACCCAGGCGCCGCCTACGTGGCACACGCCGACGGTGCCCTCGAAGACGGTGACCCCGTCGAACGCCCCGGGTAACCCGCTCTTCAGCCTGCAGATGCTGGTCGATCAGAACCGCCAGCAGAACCAGAGCCAGTATCGAAGCTCGCCGGCAGGGACCCAGAGCACCCTGGACCTGTCGGCGACTTCGGAGATGGCGGAGAACTACTCGAGGATACCGCAGGACATCCCGATAAGCCTGACCGCGAGGACGGTCGACAAGGGGAGCCGAAACGGGAACATAATCTCGCCGCCGATCCCCCTCAACGGAGAAATCTCTTCCGATTCCGGGATCAGCTCCTCGGTGCCGACCCCGAACTCCGTCGGCGAGCCCGTCTCCCTCTCCACCAAGGAGATCCCCCCGGCCCCCAAGATCACCGTCAAGAACTTCGAGAGCAACCTGAAGGGCGTGGCCAATCTTCACGACAAGATCAAGGAGATGAACGCCGAGGTACTCGCCCAGAAGGTCATCAATCTGCCGCCCAGCGTCACCATCGAGAGGGTCGTCGCCGATAAGAAGGAGCCCGAGGTCGTCAAGGCCAAGGACACCCTCAGCGTTATCGCCCAGGTCCCTAGGAACGTGCTCCCCGTTATCGTCAATCTTACCTCGAAGATCGACAAGGATGTCACCGATAGCCCCAGGAGGGAACCTTCCAGCGAGAGGGAGAGGAAAATCGAGGAGACCAGCGTCAGGTCGCCGAAGAACATCCCCAAGCGAGGTAATTGTGGAGGAAGGGGTGATGGTCCATTAACACCTCCCTAGCTTCAACAGGGGTCTCTACCAGGGTGTAACCTCTTCAGGGTTGACATTTTATACGTTCACGTTTTACCTAACGTTTTCTTCCAACTTCCAGGTAAAAAGGGCGTGGACTCTCTTCTGGAGAAGCTGGAGGGCGGCAACAAGAAGCTAGGCACGGAGAATATCGGCTCGGTGATAGTGGTGCCGCTTGATGATAAGGACTCGAGTAGCGTGAAGAGCATGTCCCCGGAACGGCAGAAGTCGAAGTCGCCGAGTCGGGAGGACGAGGTCGTCTCGCCGTCGTTCAGCAACGAGGACAGCAACGACACGACCAAGCAACGCAGGAAACGGAAGCTGGAGAAACCCGTAAGGCTGAGCAAGGACTCGAAGACCGAGGTCGAGGACATGGAGCTGGAGCCCACGGAGCCGACGGGGCCGAGGATCTGCGAGCCTCTCCTGGACGAGGCGACGCCCCCAGGGGCGGCGACGACGACCTCTGTTCCCGTCAAGACCGAGGAGGAGAGGTCCACCCAGGACCGCCAAGTCGAGGACAGGACCTCGACGCAGGTGGGTCCCGAAGAGGACGAGGAGATGGAGGAGGAACGACCCGAGCATAGGCTCGCGGAGGAGCACCCTGAAGAGCAGGGTACGTTTCTGGGAGAGGGCAAATTAAGGGAGTCATGAGTTGATGATGGTTTTTTTTTTCCTTTTACCTTGCAGAAGACGTTACCGAGGTTGGCAGGCTCGAGGAGAACCAGCCAATCCGGAGGCGGAGAAGCAGCGAGGGGCCAGTGGCGACGAGTTGTTCGGCCTCGACCAATCAAAGGGTTAGGAGAAAATCCAGCGACGACGTCACCGAGCTCTCGAAGGCCGTGACGAGCCCGAAGAACGTGAACAATGCGAATCCCTTCAACGAGGTGGAGTCCGAGCTGGAGAAAATGTTCGCAGGTGAAGGTCGAGTCTTATTTTCGTAGAATGAATTTCGAAATCACATATTTTACCACTTCCATGTCACCTTACGGTGATATCAAAGGGTCATACTATATATATATATCTCAAATCTGAAAATATAGAATGACTCTTTCATAACACCTTAAGAACTGCTCTTCATGGTGTGCGTGCGTGTTGATAAGTGTTCCTCCTATCGCGAATCTAATTGAAATTCCCGTGTCCAGGCATCGTGGAGACGGAGATGGACGTGAAGGGCGAAGTGCAGGCGAAGCCGGAGGCGGCGAGTACGGAGGCGGTGAAGAGCGAGGACAAGGACCTGGAAACCCTAGGGACGAAACCCGAGGGTGCCGAGGTCGTGGCCGAGGCATCCGTGGTCCCCGTGGTGACACCCATGGAGACCCGGCAGACCAGCAACCCGACCGACGTCTCCTCCAGCGTGGACACGAAGGTCTCCCCGAAGAGGAAGGAAAAGAAGACGAAGGCCCGGGGAGGCAAGAGGAAAATCTCCAGGTCGGCGGAGAATATCTTCGGGGCGGCCGACGCGGGGCAGAAGGAGGCGATGCCCGCCATGAAGAAGATGCGGCCCTCGAAGGGCTCGAAGAGGCAGGATACCTCGAAAAAATCGAAGAAGAACTCGAAGATCGACGGCCTCAGGGAGATGGCCTACGATTCCGGATCGAACGCCAGCTCGATCAGGTCCAGGGGACCCGTCGTCCACGTGGAGGGTCCTAGGGACAGTCCTCTCAGTATACAAGTCGTCAACGCCCCCAGGGAGGAGGAGGAGGAACGCAACAAGGAGAAGAGGAAGAGCGTCGGCAACGGGAACGCGGGCCGCAGCAAGAGGCTCAGCCATCAGAACGACCTCGACTACAGAGGTACGACGTGAATCATATCATGGACTCGTGTTTGGCACAATGAGATTAGAAATAACCGAAGATTTCCTTTTCAGGCAAGGTCAGCAGAGCCGGCCTCTTCAGCTCGACGTTGTCCTCGCGGTACGACGCCCACACAACGGACTCGACGTGGGTCTGCGTCTTCTGCAAACAGGGTCCCCACTCGGTGATCCCCGGGTCCCCATCGAGACCCCATCCGAACCTGGTGGGGCCCCTGCTGGACCCGGTCACGCACACGGTCCCCGCAGGCGTCCTCAGCGACCTCTTCGGACCCTACCTCATCGGCAAGGAGCGCCTCGAGGAGGGGATCCTCTCGGCAGACGAGCAGGAGATCACGACCGAGCAGAAGAAGGGCGGCAAGAACAAACGCAGCCTCAGGTACGCCGGCCTCGCCGACCAGTTCTCCGCCAAGATGAGCAAGAAGAAGAGGAACAACGTCGAGAACAACACCAACGCCGTATTCGCCGGGATGACCCTGTTACCTGGGGAGGAGCAACGCTGGGAAGTCTGGCTGCACGAGCAATGCGCCGTCTGGGCTGCCGGCGTTTACATGGCAGGTGAGAGAACCCTCACGCATTAACCATTTCGTCTAGAGTTGAACATGTATTCGGGATCTCTGAATGATTGTCTCGTTTCAGGCGGCCGAGTGACCGGGCTGCAGGAGGCGGTGTGGGACGCGGCCAAATCGGTGTGCGGCTCTTGCGGGCTGACGGGGGCGAACATCGGATGCGTGAAGAGGGGATGCAGGGCGGTAAGCCACTACCCGTGCGCCCTGACGAAGGGCTGGCACCTGGACAGCAACCAGTACATACCCAAGTGCAACCTCCACCGGGAGGGCGGCCGGGTTACGTGAAAGGACGGCCCGTCGACGTCCGCGTCGCGTCTTGAGGACGAGCCGAGGCTCGAGTCGCGTCCGATTGGGTCGAGCCGAGGCTCGGGTTGCGCCTGATTGGTCAAGCCGAGGCTCAAATCGCGGTTGGTGAACCGAGCCGAGGCTCGGATAGCGTTTGATTGGTCGAGCCGAGGCTCGAGTCGCATCCGATTGGTCGAGCCTAACGAGCCGAACGTCGGCTCGGGCGAGCCGCCTTAAGGCTCTAGGTATGAACGAGTTTACGACTGAAGATCGCCTTTCTAGTGGTAAGGGTTTGTCCGGCGTGGATGGCCAGCGCGAGGACTCTTTCTAGGACAGAGATGACACGCGATGATACACCACACACCAACACATACACCTATATTTCGTACGTGCTAATGTATACGAGTCAATTTCTAGCCCTAACCTAATTTAACCCGACACAAGAGGACGCCGCGAGGAGCCCGAGCTCGTTGTAATTCCTGTCCCCGTTGTAATTACTCCCAGGAGGATATTAACTCTATTAGTGCCGAACGACGATATATCGTCGTTTTACAAGTGCTTTATGACTTCGGTCGGCACTAAAAGGGCTAATTTCGGGATGGCATGAATTTTGCACGGAAACGTACAGGACCTCCCGTTCTTGGTATCGGTAACGAACGTCTCGTTTTTAATTTAGATTTACTTCACCGCGTAAGGATGAAACTTAGGCTAGGTATTTATTCGGGAATCGTGCTGGTGTTGATTTCGACGATTTTAGGGAAAATCATGCGGAGATTCTGGGGTTTCCGGGGTCGGAGAGAAAGTGCCTCCTTGTGACACGCTTTGGGGAGATGTCGTTTATTTAATCATGACTTTCGAGTTTAACGGGGCGAGGGGGACTGAATGTTCTTTCTGGGCTATGGGGGAAATTTGAGGAAGATGTTTGTACGTCCCTTTGCTCGAAATTCGTGACTCGGTAGAGTTTCACGCCAAGTACGTCTCGAGGCTGTACGTTTGTCGGTGATAACGTATCGTAAGTACCTCGAGATTGCGAGGAACGTGTCTTTTGCGTGCAAAACGAGTTGCCATCCCTGGTTATAAAGCTCTGTTTACAAAAGAAAAGTGCACACGTCTTAAAAAAAAAAATTCTGATTCTAACTTAAAGTGGTTTATTCCAAAGTTCGACACAAGCCGTTATCGCAGTGTTAATTAAGCGTCAAGAGAAAGATATCTACTCGGATACATTATGCGCTTTCGGATATAATTTTATTGCTATCATCTCGATGCGATATCCAGAATTTCTTCTGCCCCTGGACCATTGGTAGTACTCGATTTTGAATGTCACTGACCGATGGAGACTTTTGAGAATTATTTATGTTTTAAAAATTGTAACGGGTCGCGCAAATTTTTCCCCCGCTTTTCCGAGGAGCCTCTCGGGCGTTCTCTGTATTTTTTACGTTTTACCGCGTCCGTGAAGAAAGTGGAAACGAAAGCGAAGACGAGAATTGTACATTTTTAAGTAGGCTGTAAAATTGGGCAGGAATTCGAGACGCGCCTGTGTAAAATAGCGATTGAATTGATCGCACATCGCTATTGTCATGTTACGGTTATTGATGATCCTCATCCCACCCCCCGTCTTGTAAACGATATCGATGATATCATTCGATCGGAAAATCATGCAGAGATGGACGGCCTCCGATTGCGTCTTAATGTGAAATTGACATAAACGCCAGGGACATTTCCGGGCAATAATCACGAGATAAACAATATCGATAATATCATCATAAACACGGACCGTCACGTTTTACATATTATCGCTTCTCTAACGAGCAGCTTATAAACGGTAGAATATTAATTTACATTAACAATCTATAAATTCACCTCCTAGGGGAAAGAAAAATCAATTAGTTTATCCCTTCGTCCATCCTCGATATTTATACAATTGCGCCGGCGTTTCAACGACTCTGTACGAAATTTGCTCGTTAATTTATCCCGTTTAATTGTAACAATTGGAAATAATTGCTGCCCAATGCCAATCGGTGCCGTCAATCTCTGTCGTAAAAAAAAAGTCAGTTCCGACTTCTCCGGCTTTTCCTTTTCGATCTCCTCCGCACCGTCATTCGTCACATAATCCATAATCCGTATTCCATAATTCGTAATCCATAATCCATAATTCATAATTCGCGACTCGGCGATGACGTGTGATTTCGAGTTCCCCTCTTTGGCGACGAGTGAGAGAGAGATAGAGATAGATAGGGTGAAAGAGAAGAAAAAAGAATAGAGAGAGAGAGAGAAGAAATGGAGAGAAAAAAAGTGTATAAAAAAAATACCTATTCGCGACATAGGACTATATGATGTACATACACTAATTCGTGCGAGATGCAAAGATCTATATATATACAAAGTAGACGTTCCCCTCCCCAGCATGGAGTACGATAATTGAGCGTAATCACTTATAAATAATTATTCGATTAAGGTGAGACGAGGTACACACACACGGATAACACGTACACGGACACATTGTATCGAGGATGATAATTGCTGATTGTACATAACGAGAGAGAGAGAGAGAAAAAACGCTCGTAGCGATTAAATTCAGAATCCTCGTGTAAAAAGAAAACTTTGCGAATGTATTAAGGGGGAGAGAGAGAGAGAGAGTGCGATAGAGTGAAAAGGGAAAAAAAAATGTGTGTATGCGTATGCGTGAGAGAGAAAAGAGAGCGATATCCTATTTAGGAGCATAATGCCTGACTTACCGTAGAAAGAGAGAGAGACAGAGAAGGGTTGTTTCTCGAGACAGATAGAGAGAGAATCCTTTTCTCCTTCTGAGTTTCTCTCCCTTCTTTTTTCCAATTTTTTTTTTCTCCTTCCACTTTCTTCCTTTCCCTTTCGCTACTTCTTTTCTTTATTCCTTTCCTTATTAATTTAATGCCTTCTTAGTTGGAAGTCGTGCGAGTTTTGTGCGAGGAATGTTTATATAGCCAAAAACGCTGGTTAGGGAAGAGGCTCGGCTCAGTCTCGGGACAAGAACATTGTTAAGGGAACTTTTTCTTTTCTCGAGGGCCGACCGAGTCTCTTTTCGGCGGAGAGGCGGTTTACGAAACGCTTAATTATTTAAGACCGTGCGGCGATTTTTGCGGGAGAGATTTTATACGTCTTGGCTGGCACTTTGAATCGGCGATTCTTCCAGATAGAAATTCGTGATCGCAATACGATAAGGGGAAAATCGATTTACAAAGAATTCGCTGCACGAAATGTCTGCAATGTATGCACGCGTATTGCACGATAAATTTGCGCGAGATTAATTTTGCTGCACTTATGCGGACAAACATTGAGACATTGCGTGTACTTAATTTTGTTTCATATTTAGGTATTTTTAATTCGTCATTGTGTCCTGCAGATAAGAGGTCCAAATGAGGAATCATAAGCAACACCCTCGTGACTCGTTTCATGATCTTTTATCGGGGAAAATTTGATGCTAATTTTTCCATCACTTTGTCTATTTGGGAATATTCCAACGTACGAACTCTGCCGGCCTAGAAAATCGTCGCCTTAAGTTTAAGCCTGTATAAAAGTGGAGGGAAACCTAAAGATCTGTAAGATAGTGCGCCGAATATTTCAAAATGGCGAGAGAAAGACGGAAGGAAATACGAAACACTGTACACAGACTCGTGCCTCGATAAGCGGCAAGAGGCGGGGAAAAGAGTCAGCGAGAAAATGAAAAAAAAAATCAGTAAATGGGGAGGGACAAAAAAGAAAAGAGGAAATGCGGATGATCATGAGATAACGCGATAACGAGGAAAATAATCGTTCGACTTGTTTTTCCCCCCTGATTATCGCCTTCAACTTGTCGACTCCCCCCCTTTCTTTTTTAGACACTATTTTTTTTTTTACTTCCGATTCAGCAGGGAAGTAACGAACGCGCACGCGTTTTTCAATTTTTATTTTCTCCCCCCGCACCCTTGAATTAAAAAATCGTATCCCCCCCCCTCCCCCCGACTCTAGACGTACGCATTTTTGTGACCTGGTTTAATGTTAATAATCGTTAAGGAGGACATTGGTTTCACTCTCTATTTAATTACGTGGAACGAGATGTAGGCATCCCGGCGAGGACAAATGTACGATTAAGTATACATCTTTGTGTAATATAAATATGACGAATAATAAAATATGTAAATCGCAACGAGACGGGGGTGGCGAGGTGCTGCTTTGAAGTGCGTGAATGGAGTTTTTTGATTCTTTTCTAGGGAAAAAGATCTGTTGCGCTGTTCTACAGTGCAAATAGGATTTTTTTTCTTTATTTTCTAAGTTTTTCCGTGAATGGTTCTTGTTTGCTTAATGATTTGCATTGTACAAAATGCGCCTCTCATATGACGTTTATGTCTAAAGTATTGTTTTAAAAAATCCATATATCTATCCCCGGTAAGTGGAAACTTCTATCCAGCATATCGCAGGTCCATCTGGCATACGCCGATGGAACTTCGTACCCATAGTTCCTCCACATACCGAGGGATGGCACCACCACCGTGCGGCTAGTCGGAGTCTTGTTTTCGTGCGCGCGTCCGGTACCGTCCAGTATGTCACCGGACGCCACGAGGTGCGGACGCGTCCGTGGTCCGGGGTCGCGCGCGGTGTCGATTCTCGGTAATGAGGCCGTCTTTCCCGGTTCCGTGTAGACGCGAGCGCAGTGCCAGTGCGAGATAATGCCGAGGAACAGCGATGGGTAACCTAGCGACCGCGGCGAGACTCGGCGCCGTGCTCCTGCCCTGTCTCCTGGATTACGCGCTGGCGAGGGACGAGGTGCGAGGTGAGCGGACACTTGCTTACAACAGTGTACGACCGGCCACGTTCCCCGCGTTCTAGGTTAGAAACTGCAGCGCACCTGTGTGCGACTCGACCCCTTCCATATCTGCCCTCGCCGGGAATTTACGTGCGGGGTATAGGTTAGGTTGCAACGTGCCCCCTTAAAATATAAAAGGGTCCCTATAGAATCCAAGAAAAGAAAATTTTTTTTTTTTTATTTATCTCAGACGAACCAAGAACACATATCTTTTAATTTAAAAATATGTGTCTTATATATATGACGTTTTCGTAATACTTTAACGATTATCGCTTTTCCGTACTTTCTGTGCCCGTAAAACGTACCCTTGGGTTGTTCACCTTCGGCTCGATCGATTAACGCGTTTACGTTGTGCGGCTTCGGAACATTGTTCCCTTTGTATATCGAGTAACGACGCTCAGAATTCAGCTGGTTTGACGAGGAGTTCTCACCTTTCTCCTTTAGATAATGTATTGCTGCACGAGGCGTTCCGGATCGCGGCCATTGTGCCTCTCGCAGCGTTTTCTTATTCTATGCTTTTTTTTTATTTTTTATTTTTCCTCTTCCCGTAACTTTTGTTTACGAGACACGCTCGAATCACCCCGTAGGAGTCGATATAAAGCATTTTTGAATATTGAAATGGGCAGGAATAAACAAACGCGAAATTGCTGACGGTGGTTTTTTTTTTTTCTTTATGAGCACGTTCTTTTTTAGGGCCTTCGTAATCACGCGTTAATGTTTGAAATTATTCGGAGAAAAGATTAAAAAATATGTATATGTTGAAAGAATAGAACCCTTTCATATCACCTTAAGGAGAAGAAAAGAAAAATTCGAGTCGACCGATTTGAAGGGGGGGTTTCAATTCGCCTTATGTCTCGCGGGAATACGTCGACGTATCTTTCTATCCTGAATAAATGCCGGGGAATCTGGCCTGGGTGAAAGTAAACAGCGAGCAGGGCTCTCGAGATAGCTCCGAGAGAGGTTAGGGAGACTCAGGGTGGTGGACGACATGTGCACCTCGAGGCACATGTTGCGCGCGTGCCACGGCGCACCCGTTGCGCGCAGTTACTGCAGTTACTGCAACCAGTACTCGGCTGGTACGGTAATAATTCCTATTTAAAGTGATACAAAGGAGTCATTCTATATACATGTACAAAGAGCGCGGCAAATAATTTTAAACATCAACGCGCGATCCTGGAGGTCCTAAGGAAGAACTCATGAGATTTCATAAAAAAAAAAAATATATGTATGTATTCTTGGTTTTGCTCTGACAAATGAAAAAATTTTTTTTATAAAAAATGAAATTTCACGAGCGATCGCGCGGTTCCTCGTCTCCGAGAGGTCGTCGGGCATCCCTCGGGTGAGCCGCGAAACGGGAGCGGGTGCTGACGCGGACGCGTCCTTGGACATCGGCGGCGCGTCTTCCGGAAAGGGAGGGGAGAGGTGCAACGCCCTCCCACCGGTCGCTGCGCGCCGACCACTGCGCATCGGCCGCGCCTAACCTCTTCCTCCTTGGGCTTCGTCAACGCGGTGGTTTAACTTTCGAGCATAATGAATTAACCTTAACGGTTAACGGTCCTATCGTATGTACGAAATCTGAACCGATCATCGGAAATGGAAGGGAATTTTTTAATGGTAGAGTTAACCTTTAAATGGAAATTCGAACGCGTCGAGTCAACGTCGATGTATCGCGAATGTATAAAATATGGATATTGAACGTCCTCTTTGGGGATTTTCAAGGGGCGATATGGCATCGAAAAAATGGAAATGATAAAACAGCGAAATGGAAGGGAATTTTCTAATGGGAGAATTAACCTTTAAATGGAAATTCGAGCGCGTCGAGTCAACGTCGAGATATTGCGAATGTATAAAATATGGATATTGAACGTCCTTTTGGGGATTCTCATAGGGCATCGAAAAAAAAAAAGAGGAGGGTGGAGGCTGTGCTTCGAGCCGATTCGCCGTAGAGATTGGTCTGGGATGCGCACGTGAATGGGACGCACGTATGAACGGGCTCAGCTGATAACTCGTATCCTGCGTAGCTCATTGAGGCGGCAGCGAATTGCCTCGAGTAATTGTGAGCGCGAGTCGGAATCCCCATTATCACTTGTAGAATCCTCCTCGATCGCGACTTATAATATTTCCGTTTTTCCGCTCAACGGCGGAAATTGTCGTAACGAATTTGCTCCGAATTCGGAGCGGGCTCGCTCGCAATTGAAGCCCGCGTAATATCGCGTTTCCGGCCCGAAACTTCCTCTTATCCCTCGCACAATAGCCGCTTAACACTTTTAACATTAATGGGTTATACCCCGAGGCAAGAAATACATATAAGCATAATACGAATAAGCTCGAATAAATTCTCACGAGTCCTAAATGACCCGAGCCAAAATTACCTGTACTGGTTTTTGTTGGCAGTAAAAATTGCCTCGGTGTACTTGGTCTAAGTACGCGATTTATTCACTCGCAAGTGAAAGCTGCATGATCCTATGTTTCCGTTCCGCAATTTCCGCCTTTTATCTCCCGCCATTACGTTTAATGTTTAACGCAGGAAGTGAAATCCATATTTCCCCGATGATTTTTTCTTTATCAAGCGGAAATTATCAGAATTGAAATACACGCTTCCTCTCATTTTTTTATTAAACGCCAAAAATCGGCCTTCGGCTCCAACTCGAAACGGGCCCACAATTGAAAGCTGCATAATCCTACGTTTCCGGTCCCGGGGTTCTGGCTCTTATCACTCCGGTCCACGTGGTAATGGCCGGTGCACGTGACGTCGGTGATAGGCCGATAAGCGAGCGTATCCTGCGCCTGTCGGTCTCGATATAGGCCGGTCGGCGCAACCTACACTCCTCTCGTTACTCCTCTCGTTACTCCGCGCGTGTCCGACGTTACATACTCCGGACAATGAGTCCCACGGAGGAAAGAGGTCGGTTATTCCTCCGGAATATACCGTTCTCTCTTCCCTCTTCTCCTCTTCGGCGTTCTTGACGAGCCGCCGTCCTCGCTCGCGGCTAAGAATGTCGCAGGAAATGAAATTACGAGCAATTCTTTTTCTTTTCGGGTACTTTGACGCTCTGGGGCGATGCCTGATAGCGTAATTAATTTCCTTTGGTTGTATTGAATTTCTTGGAATTTTTATTGAGTGCCGGTAATTGAGAATAGTCGTTTTTAATCATTTTTTCAGGTCGTATATAATCGTTCTCCGAGTGGTATCGATTTCGGAAGCGGAAACGGGTCAGCCCTATCTTTAAAATGTCATTTTCGTTTAATTAGAAATCTGCTCTATTTAAAACTATCCTTTATTCCTTCTCGAAGTAGCGGATTTTGATCCTCACCTCCGGGTCGTAATTAATTAAGACCTTAAAATATTTTAAACCGTCTCGAAAGCATTTTTGGCCACTTATCGCGCATCCTCTCGGTTCCAGAAATGGAGAGAGTTCCACTTTATTCCCGCCCATGTTTTCCATTGTAAATAGGCTCGAGCGTTATTCCACGGTCCCTGGAAGATACTAAATAGTCGTTCCTTGGATGTTGTCTATCCCAGAAAGGAAAGAGGTCGTCTCTGCCTTCGGAATACCGTTCTTTCGACGAATCGACGAGGACCCTCCATGGAGGCCCGCGACTTCCGCGTGACTTCTCCTCCGGTTTTAGCCTTACCTTTCCCATCCTACGAATCCGAGGCTAAACGTCTCTTTTCCCTTCTTTCTTTTTTTTTTTTTTTTCTTTACTTTCGAGTCGAGCCATAGGGATGTTTATCTCTCCCAGCCGCCGCGGAGAAAAACGACTTTAATTGAGCGGCCTCTTTTGCCTCCCGAGTTTACCGACAGCTCCTCCTTATTTCACGAAATTAACCTGGGGAAAAAATCTAGGGACTTGGGCAAAAGAACCTCCGACTTGGTATTCGAAGAGAAGAATTTTTTCAGGAATTTTTAATAATTTTCTATTAATTTTAAATCCAAATTACATGAATTAGGAGAATCGGCATGATTTTAAATTCGGGTAAATTGAGGTAGAAGTAAATTCTAGATCGTTTTGAAATCAGATTAGATGAGTGATCGATCATGAGAGTCCAGATTTTTCTAAGATCTTTAAAAAATATTAATTACTCCCTTTGTTCGCGTCTAATTGACCGATTTGATGGTCTGTTCAGTTTTTACTCCTCGGTGTGGGAACCGCGGCTGTCAGAAAAGTACATTATCATTCATCGCGGTATCACGCCTTGGAAATGCCGTTAGCTTACCAGTGTGCATTATTCACTCCCACGCTCCATTACTCATGATTACATGACTGCAATTGAGGGCCGCTCGCACGGGGTGATGTCAATAGTGAAATTATCCGAAGACATGGAATGAACAATCCCGAGAGAGAGGGATTGGACCCCTCGCTGTTCGTATCGAGACTTATCATTAATTACATTATCATATTGTATAGTCATTAATTATTTAATTCACTTATCGGAGGCTTCTTCGATCTAAATTCTCATTGCTCTAGAGGTGTGAAGTGAAAGCCCCCTAAAATCAATCGATTCTAATAAGACACTTATTTTTAAGAGTATTGGATACGAACTGTCGGAAATTTTGACACGTGACTCGTGAGCACCTAGGAATTATCCTGACACTTTGAAAATTTGGATTTAGAACAAAAAAAAAATTTTTTTAACTCGGCCCAGACCGGAGCCAAAATGACGTCGAGTTCTCATATTTCGATCGATATACAATTTTTTAAGGGAGAAATATTTTTATTATACTTGGTGCCATTTATCGAAAAGTCAGAATGCAGATAAGTGCGGTACACTCTCCGTCTATATATAGTGTACTATAATTGGTGCATTATTCCCCTCGGCACCTGTCCTCGCTCGTCTGTCCTAATTTAGGTACTCGAGACCTTAGGTTTAGTGCCTAGAATCCAAATATTTTCTACTTTCTCCGTCTTTCTCTCTCCCTTTATTTGCTCGTTTCCGGAAGAAGCGCTCTCGAAGACGAGAGATC